GCAGATGGAGATCTGCACTTTAGTGACGTGTGTGCTGTCTGAATCTCACCCTTACCACTTCTGAGCAAAAATAGATGCTTTGTAAACCAAGAGGCACCATGAGGCTGCCAAAAGGTGTATTTGTACATATTCAGGGTACGTTGTCTAAATTGGGCTTGTAACATATTAACTTTTGTACAACTCCATCCAGGATGACACACCAAGTCAGACCAGTGATAAACAGCTCTGCTATTTGTAAACATGACACATGCATTCAGTGATACAGATTAGAAGGAAATATTATTCTTTGTACAATCTGCATGCAGCTTAATCACTGTGACCACAGTAATTTATGGTAAGGCTGACACAACTGCCTTGTTTTGTTGTGTGATCCCATGATGTTTTATCATCTCATCTAAACCCTAAGATAACCAAGCAGTGTTTGTTTTTAAATCCAAGTTTGTCAAATGGATAGTTTTGAATATAATATTAATCTGTTTTACACCGAGTTGAGCTCTTTTCTTGAACAGATACTAAGAGAAGCAAGTCTCACATTACATCAGTGCTGAATCCATTTAGTGTAATCCCCTTGCTGAGATCTTCCACTTAGGAGAAAGGGGGCCAAAAGCTTTGTGAAGGATAATGGTAACCTGGAAAAGCTTGGCCTAGAAACGTCCTTCTAACCCCCACATCTTTTTGTCAGCTATTTTATGCTCTAGAAAGTGAAACCACCAATTTATCTTACAATGATGGAATAGCCGTGATGTGGTTATGACTATGGCCCTTTGCCTGCAAACACTGATGATGTTTAACTAAGAGAACAAAGTCCCGTGAACTATCCTGCACAAGGAGGTTTAATGCTGTTCTGAAGGCATAAAGTTCCTCGGCATCCACAGGTACTGACCCAACAGTCTGCTCCTGTAACACTATTCAAATGATGTGGCTGGAATGTCTGTCATCATAATTTTTTCTGCGTTGAAAGAAGCACAGAGGAAGTAAACAGTCTGAGTCCTCCTGTAGATGTCTAAGCAGTTTGACCTGCAGGCTGGCATATTGCCGGTATCTGAAGATTGTTGTTAACAGGTTGCAGGAAAGGGTGTTCACCTTCTATTTTCATCCTTCCTGCATTACACACGGGGTTAAGAAGTTGCTACACCCAGTCCCAGGCACTGTTAGGAGCTGGGTTCCACATGACACTATCTCTGGGAGGGAAAAGGACAGGTTTATGTGACAAAGGAAGAAAAGTCAGGTCAGTGAGCCTAAGAAAGTCTGAAAGTTTCTCACGTATCTAACTACACCCTGGCAGGCCTGAATAAACTGACTCTCCAGGACACCTAATGGGCAAACTGCAACTTCTGTAATTTTTTGGAACTCATTAGAAGTACTGAGATACATATACTAAAAACAAGGCATTAAGTAACATGAATTAAGAAATGAGAGGGCAGTAAGAATTAAGAGAACTAGTTGATTTTTATGGGATATGGACATTTCCTTAGCTCAGAACTTCTGTAAAAAAGGCATGATCTTCATAAATAGAATGATTTGAAACTTCGAGCTATAAACCAGACAGTACCATCATAGCTATGACTTCATGATTAAAACCTGCATCTTTGAACTGTAAGCAGCTTTCCATTCTCACTACAAAGTATTGTGGTTGACTTTCAGAATCTAGGAGACTGAGACACACTATTATTTCCCTATCACTGTGACTAGTTATTCAACTTAATAAAAATAAGCAATCCCAATTCAAAGCACATATTTTACTATCAATATACAAAACATGTATGGGAGGCAGAACCTTTTGCTTTGAGGTAAGCAGTCTGCAAGAATAATGCAGACATACAAAGCAAGGGTAGTAAGATGACTCTTACCTCCTATCGTACGTGTCACACACACATTTAGCCTTTTCCACTCCTCACACTGTCGTAACAGCAAACTGGTTTTCAGGAACGTGTCTACACAACCCAGCCAATATTAATTTCTGATAGTTAAGTGGTAAATTGTAACCTCCATGCCCCAGACTAGCTATCAACATCAATACAGCGGGGCAAACTTCAAGGAAAACATGAATTAACTGCATCTGTATGTAACAGTTCTGTTTTTAAATTGTTTTATTCTAGTTCGTATTTTATCTCATTATACAACACTGTAGAGCAGGAGCTGTCTTATGTTTGTGGGATGCTTAGCACAGGACACTGAACTTGCAGGGGGTCTTTGGCTGTAATTATCAGACCAGTATGTATCATGGAGTATTTCTGTGTGTGCCAGTGCACATTGAGTGAGCGAGCAGAACAGTACAGCCCAGAGTAAGCTGTGTCTTTCCTTTTCAGAGAGGGATGCAGCTCTCAGCAGCGCTCTTTTTCACCAGATGCTCTTTGGAGCTTTGCTGGCTGTAGTACATTAACATCTCCTACTTTTTAAGCGAGTAGACTGGCTGCCATTTGTGGAGACCAATTACCATTTCAAGAGCAACTTTCTGGCACCAGCGCAGTTTATAGGGAAAACAGATTAAAGCTAAAAATTCAGCTACCATTATAATTTCAAACACCCAGTAGGACTCCAGACATGCGTTTTACTTGCTTATTACCGCTATAATAAAAAAATATGGGGTATTCAACCAGAACTTGTTTATATTAACATGGATACATTGTATAATCAAGTTTTAAACTAACATCAAATGTCTCAAAATATATTTCACTGCTTTTAGAACCCAGGCTCTCTTCTTTCAAGAAATACAATCAGTCCACATAAAAATAAATGCCAATGTTTCAATTACTAATTTCTGCAATACTGATTTTTTGATACAACATTCAGTAGTGTATATTGCTGTCCAAATGGAATTCTTGTGCAGAAGGCTATGCTCCAGTATCATAAAGATACTCAGCAATATTTATCTGTGAAGCATTCATGTGTAAAAATCTATCATTTTGATCATAACTGCAGAAGCTGTTAAAGTATCTGTTGAGAACACACTTTATGTAGAAGCTGCAAGTTCAGACCTTTATCATTGACCATTCAGTAAACACATTCTACACAGCACTGTTGAGCTTTTTACAAACTGAACAGATAGAACACAGTCAAAAATAATTCCTGATTGGACTGAACAGAGTAACAACCAACAGAAATAAATACACCTGTGAAAAGTGCACTGGTTGATATGCCCTTTAAAATAGGTGCAAGTTGCTTTAATAAAGGAATAGTGTGCTCAGATCTACTTTTTTTCCCCCCCCCCCCCCCTCTATCACTGACTTTTAAAGGTCTTGCCAAAACACTTGAGTATTTATTTTTTAATCATCATGAAGACAGAAGCTAGGGTTTTCTGGTAACTAGACATTACAACCATTACAACAAAGGATTCAATACACATTGGAAACTTTAGTTTTACAATTCACTGGTATACTTATTTACTGTATAAAAGGTAAATAAATAACCTTACAAGTAAAAATAGTCTACACCTAAAATTAGTTTTGCTTGCAAGCATGGAAAATAATAATTTATAAATCACTGTGTCTGCAAAGTTTGCAGTGTTTTGATTACCATCAAGCTCTTTAAATAGAAGGAAACACAGGCAAATACCTATGAAGTGACTTGCCTGAAGTCACAGTGAGTCTGTGACTGAAATAAGAACAGTCTTGCTCTCCACTCCCTGTGTCCTAATCCTGATTCAGCAGAAATTCATGCTCTGCTCCACACCACGGATCTTCACTGGGCATAAGCTGTAGTAACTGACAGCAGCTGCAGAGTGCAAAAAGTGATGGAGATCCCCGCAGGTAGATAACTAAGGTTTAGGAAAGGCTGTCATTTTGGAATGGTAGCATTCACATTACCAAGTAGGATATTACATACCTGATATAACAAGCTGACCCGTAAACTCTCTGGGACTGTTACATCTCTGATCCTGTCTCACCAAGCCATACTCTGGAACACTTAACACCCTCGTTCTTTCCTGTAGATTTATCAACTGTGACTGAACGACATGTCTCGTGACCTGGTCCTCCCTCTTCTCTGGCAGCAAGAGTACATTATTACAATTTGAATCAGTTCAGAGTCATTGTTTTATATCTATGACTCTTGTATCAGAACTACAGCACTATTTGAAAAGGTATATTGATAAAGAATAACTGGCAGAGATTGTCCTATTAGCTCAAATACTAAAATACTACATTTGAAACAGTCACCAATTTTTTTCTTTCTTACTAAGTGTTCTATAGACAACAGTTTAGTTACAGTTATGTTGCTATTATATGGCTCTTAACCATTCACATTTATAACAGAAAGATTAATTTGTAATAAATAGAAAATTTCTGAATATTTTGTAAATTAAAATTCTGGATTACAGGAACAACCTACCTTTAATAATTCTTTGCAAATCTCTAAGGTCAATTAAATCACATTGCAGCAAAACATTTCAAGTGTGCAAATTTTGACAGTGACTTCTGCAAGAGATTTTATTCCGAAATAAAACCTTCACTATTTGAAAAAAAAAAAATCAATCTCAGTGGAAACCTGTAGAGAGAAAAACTAACTGCTAGTTTTCAGAAGTGAGGGGAAATTAAAACTGGTAAAATTATTTGTATCCCTTTATTCCCATGGGAGGACATTTTGTCAGCTTCCAAGGAACATGTTCTTGTTTCACTGGCTGGATGAAGCAAGCAGTGCAGACTTCAGAGACACAGAACCTCATGCTGTGAGCTTTAATGTTTTGCTACAGAGTCAGCAAAGTAGGTCTAGAAACACAGCAGTGTCACATAGAAAAAAAAATGCTAAGCTGCAGTGTGTCTTCAGGACCAAGTTCATGTTTCTATATGGAGATTCAATTTTTAGATAAAACGAGTCACTAAATTTACCTGCAGTGAAACCCGTTACGACTGCCAGGATTAAATCCTCCTAAACATGATCTAGAGACTGTGGTCTGTCAGATATCAGCCAATGATGATACTTAAACAGCTGCTTAAAACCCTCTAATCCATAAACATAAGCAACCAAGGAAAGAACAAAATGGAGGAAAATGAAAACAAACATTCAAAGTTAAACTTAATTTTTATTTGACAATAAATAATAATCACTGTGGCAATATTCTACAAGATGATCACTGGAGTGTAATTTTTTGTTAAATGGCCATTGGATTACAAGGAAAATTGAAAAGTATTACTGTATGCTTCTAATATACAGACCATCCAGAGCATTACTTTTTTACAGTTTTTGTCTGCATTGCAGGCAAGACTGCACAGTTACAGAATCAAATCAAAGAATTCCCCATGACACTGTATATTGATTTGGAAACGAGATTTCAGGTAACTGTAAGGATCCATTTGCACAAATGTAACTACAAGTTTGGGATCACTGCAGCATCTGTGTTTGTTCCTTTCTGCAGTATAAAACATAATATTGTCTTAAATTTGTATATCAAAAGTTCAGATGACAAGCAGAACTTCACCTTAACTAAAAGGTGAAAAGATTTTGCAAGCGTGCAACAATTAAAACATTTTTTCTTTCCCTCTTCCTGCTTGAGGTGCTTTTTAAGCAAGTGAAAATAAATTTATGGCAAATGATCAGTATGCTGCATCTGAGAAATATTTTCTTTGCATATCAAAAAAACTACCAATTTTCCCTTCTGCAACACTGCAGATACAAAATTAAAAAAAAAAAATCTATTATTCTTAGTAATATTCCATGTTGTTATAAAGACTTTGGTATACTTCATTCCAGCCAATAAGTAATATACTAGAACATGAACAATATGAGAAAAGTAATGAGGAATTTGAAGTCAGTATTTTATTTTTGCACACTTTCTAAGTATTAAATAAGCTTATCATCTTTCTGTGCTACTACTTCATGTTTAAAGACCAAATGGTATTTTAGGAAAGCAGTTGTGTTCCAACTTTGATTAATGGAGCAAATGCTAATGTGATAATTTTTGAAATGCAAAGTTTCACTACTCATTGAGGTAGATGGTAAAAAAAGATGCAACAAAAATGACTGAGGGGGATCCTGGGCTAAGGAACAGCCCTGAATTCCCTATTCAGGCAAAAACATAGGCCACAAACAGGAATTCTGCCAGAAATTAATTCCTAAAATAATTGTCACTTTTCATACTTCCTTCAAAGCAGTGTGCTCACATCTCAGGGGAAAAAAGGCAGCTGTGAATGAAAAAGTAGGCAGAAGAAGCCTAGCTGTCTGTAACTTACAGTCCTTACTAACTTCTCCCACCTGTTAAGAGTTCCATATCTTCTTCCAGTCTCATGCCTTTACACAGGCAAACACAACCACTGAACAACAATCACGTAGGTCCACGAGTTATATATATATGATTACAGTATAGTGATATCCAAATTTCAGTAAAGTCAGCAAAATTTACAGTCAAACTATGCAGAAAGTGCAGGGGAAACCTATTCCCCAATCTATTATACAAAAAATTTGCTGAAAATACGAAGAAATCTTCTCCTGAGAAATCAGCAAAGTAGAAAAAGTAAAATGCACCTTCCTTGAATTTTATTTTGACTCGGCCTCTTCATCCACGAATTCAACTAGTGGAGCGTGTCTGTTGGCCTGGGCACCTTCCTGGAAATTAACCTTTTTTATCACTCCTGCCTTTGGAGCCCTTATGGTATGCTGCATAGAAACAGATCAATAGTGAACCAGCAGAGTACTTTTTTTTTTTCCTCCTCTCTCTCTCTCCAGCAAATGCTATTACTCTTTGTTGCAATTCAAAGAGAATACACTTACTTACCTCCTCTGACACATGTATATTTATTTTAAACCTTCTTTAAAAATATTATGCTAGTCCTTTTTCAAGTTTTATTTTCTCATCAATATTTGTTTTGCTAAGTATACTGGGAACAAAAATGCTTTATAATGTTATATTTTGAAGTATGAACAGCTGAATGTTATTTTACTTCACTACTACTTTTTGTTACTGTAATAAATACCAAGCAGAGATAATACAGTTTTAGTCCAAAATGTTAATCCTATAGCAGGTTTGTTCAGAGGAATCTGCTGGCCAGGATATTTGGCAAAATGCAGCTACCAGCGACAGTAAAGGAATAGCATGTCTACATACCAATCCCCAAATTGGATTACTTGCTATATCACATTAGTTTTACATTGAAGCTTTGTTTCTTCGTAGTTTTCTACATAGGGTTTATAATATCAGAACATTCAATATCAGATATTAAATCCTCACATCTAAGCAAGGATTCATTTAAATAATAATTTGCTTTTTAGATTTTACATTTTCTATCTCAATAGCACTGCCAAAAAAAAGAGAGAACTCAGATAATGTCAGTGAGGTATCAGCTGGAAAGGCACAAATATTTAGCATCAAATTGCAAATAATTCTGGATGTAATTTATTTTTAGCTCACAGTTATATTTCATGTAATTCTAGTGTAATTTATAAAAGGGCATGATAAGGGAAAGACATATTTTCTCAAAAATGTTAATTTTGCTACCACAAACTGAAGTTTAAAATAAACTAGTCAACAAACCAAACCAGTTCAGACTACAAAAACTACAGTTCATCTGAGCTGTGGTCAAGCAACGTAACAAGATATAGTGGCTAAAGTGCTAGTCCACTGAATGTCACCTGGACAATTACAAAGAATCTTTAGTGTACTCTTGGTAAACCTTTATGCAAATAATAATATAAATATTATTTAAAAAAAAAAGATACTGGGCATATTTTAAAAGCCAGCATTAGCTAAATTTCTGCTTGGAGAGACATTATATACGCTTATATCGCAAACAGTGAGCAAGAGATACACCTAGACAGTTTTCTGCTAGAAAAATGAAAGGAAAGGAGGGCAGGACTGACAAAACTAACCAAACGAACGTTCAAATATCTGCAGAATACCATGGATTATATAATCATTTGTTAATAGAATAACAGCAAATATAATCCTCTAAAATCTAGTCAGACACAACACTTGTTTTAGAGCATATGATGTAATACTGACATCTACACTCTGCAGCACACTTCAGTAACACAACTAAAAATTACTAAATTCTGACCAGATTTTTATTTTCTCAGTTGTTCTGGTTTTGGCTGGGATAGAGTTAATATTCTTCTTAGCAGCTGGTACAGTGCAGTGCTGTGTTTCGGATTCAGTGTGAGAATAACGTTGACAACACGCTGATGTTTCAGCTGTTGCTAAGTAGCACTTAGGGTAAGTTAAGGATTTTCCAGTTTCCACGCTCTGCCAGCGAGCAGGTACACAAGGAGCTGGGAGGGAGCATGGCCAGGACAGCTGACCCCAACTAGCCAAAGGGCTATTCCATACCACAGAATGCCATGCCCAGTATGTAAATTGGGGGGAGTTGGCTCGGAGGGGCAGGTCGCTGCTTGGGCATCGGTCAGCGGGTGGTGAGCAATTGCACTGTGCATCACTTGGCTTTTTCTGGGTTTTATTTCTCTTTCCTTTAAAATTATATTCTTTTTCATTACCATTATTATTACTGTATTGCATTATTGTTATTATTACATTTTAGTTTAGTTATTAAATCGTTCTTATCTCAACCCACGAGTTTTACTTTTTTTTTTTCTTTTTCCTCCTCATCCCACTAGGAAGCGGGGAGGAGTGAGCTAGTGGCTGCGTGGTACTTAATTGCTGGCTGGGGTTAAACCACAACATTAGTAATTAAAACCTTGTATGTCACTTACCTCCATTTTCATAGCTATCATAACCATGAGAGGGTCTCCCATCTGAACCTTATCACCTGCTTTCACAAACACCTACAATTCAAGAGAAAATTGGGAAAAAATCGTGTGTATCTATGCCATTGAAAATCATCAGCTGGATCTTGGCTAGCACAATCCACTGAGTTGATTGTAGTTTTGCAAAACAGCCTCATAGTATCTTTATTATTGTTGAATTGGGTATCTGAGTTCTCTTGATAATACTTAGGGGAAGTCAGAGGCTATAGGAAGAGGTTCAGTAACAGCTAGCAGGATGACCAGAAAGCAATTTATGTATCAAAGAAGAAATACTAGAAGAGACAATTTATATTCTACCCTTTCTAGGCTTAAGAGCTTCTATTTTGAGAAAGTGGGAACCTCTTCCTGGAGCCAGTCCCTAAAGTTGTTGTTAGAACAAAATCCCAAAATAAGATTGCAGGAGCCACCTTGTTTTTCTACAATAACTGTGATTTAAGAGTCTTCACTCAGTATGTAAGGGATGCAATGTTCAATGTACTCCATGCTCTGAAAGGGTTTATGCCTTTTTATTGCTAGCAGAATCCCCTCAACTACTAAACTCTTCTGGAAATCTCTTTTCTGTTGAAACTTTGTCTACTGTACAGAGAAATACACAAGACCTTCTGAGCTAAAGAAACAAAACCAGAAACAGAAGCAGTGAAACATCTTAACAAAATAAATGCACTTCTGAATATTTCTTTTTTTTGGAAGTGCATCTAGCATATCACTCTCTTGGTCAGATGAAATGGATCAAACAGCCTCTAACACTACAGAGAACTTTGACTTAGAAAGTAATTAAGATTAAGAAAAAATTATTTAACCAGTAGGATTAGTTAAATATTCAGATTTTCTAGAGATCTAGAAAAAGAAGATTAGAAGCCTGAAAAACTCTTGCGTGGCTGCTGAAAACTCAGAGTAAACAGGGCTTTTCCAATTGGGAGAAGTCACACATCGCTGACATTTCTGGCCCTGGTTCTCTCCTGGCAGTACAGAAGCAAGCACCCTTTCTGGAAGACTAAACTTGAATATTTATTGGAGAATTAATCTCCTCTCCATATTATTATAATTACCTTTTCAACTGTGCCTGTCATGGGCGCTACTGCACCACTCTGCGTTCCCACTGAACTTACTGCAGATAAGTACTTGGGTACAGGAAGGCCAATCTGAGCACTACCTTCCTACAGAAATAAAATCAACGACACATGAGTTAACAACATAAAATAATACCACTAGTACACATGCTGACACACCAGGAAAGAACAGATCCAGCTTTAGGCAAACCAGTCAACTGTTCAGGGTGGCAGACTACTGGGGTCAGGGCTGCCAAAGGCTGTTGGCACGCTTACTACTTTACCAGTGCTTAAGTCCTTAAAAGCCACTCCTGCTGCTGCTAAGAATCAGCAAGCAAGGAACAACCCTGGTGAAAAAGAGGCTCACGTGGATCTTTGTACCAAACCCACACCTTCCCTATTCACGCAGCAACAGCAGAAAAGGTTTTAGAAAATGCGTAAAGGCTGTTTGCACAACGGGTAGGCAGGTTGCTGCAACAAGACAGACAGACATCGGCATCTTCATGGCCAAGCATTGTCAATATGAGTGTTTCACAATTACAGTAACATGGATTCAGTGCCAAGCTAGTGAAAAATTCTGTTATTCAAAATCCCCTAATGCCTCTCAGACTTGCTACCCGGAGTTTCCCAAAGACTCATTCTCCCCACATCCTACCTTCACCCTGAAACTCCTACAATTATCCCCCCACCCCAGACTCCACTGAGCTTTGCCATTCCGGCCGGAGTTATTTTGTCCTTAGCACTGGAGCAGCAAAGTTCTCACTGCATTCTGCTGAAAGTCTTAAGGAGCTCAGAGCTAGAGGTTAATTATTGAAACTAATACATAATTTACTTATTTAGATGACATTTTTATTGAGTTACTTTAAGGCCCTGTAATCTTTTTACTGCAAATAAAAAGTTACCACCCTAATAACGTAAATTAGTGTACCTCTTTTTTCAAATGCCATTACTCATGCAATGCAGATAATGCCAAGGTAACTCGTAATTCCAATTTTTTTAATACTAGCTGAAGTTACTCTTCCTCTGACCAATACTGATTTCTTTCTTATAATTTAATTTAAAAAAAATGTAACTGAAATAAAAATATCAGTTATAACCATTTTCAAATAATTGTCAGTTCAAAGTAATTGCAACCTTTGTATGGCAAACTTAGATATTTGGCCATTTAATATTTTATGTTCCCCCTCCCAAACCATCATATGCAACTCAATCACCTAACTGTATTTCATCCTTCTAAAAGTAATTACTTTTCTCACTCACTGACCATAAGATACTAACTTTTAGTTATAGCTATAAATCCAACAAGTATCAAAACATTGTGGGCCGATGTAAGAACTTAAAATTATGATTCTTTCACATTCTCTTGCAATTTATATCATTCTTTTACATGGATAAAACTCTGAAATGTTATACTTGTGATAATAAAGAAAGGAAATTTACCGGAAAGAAGAGATAAATGGTGTTGTCCAAAACGACTAATTTGGACTTACAAACTGTTCCATTTACTGAAGACCTCAAGTAAACTGAATCACCTTCATGGAAGATCTCTCCAGAAATCAGGAACATTTTATCTTCAATCTGAAATTTAAATGTTTTTATAAGGACAAAGGCTAACCCTTCATAAGAATAAACCAATAGTATTTGTAGTATACACTCATAGCCTGTGATTCCTCATAGATAATTCTGGAATTTAAAAAAAAAATCCACCTTTTAAAATCTTACATATCCTTTGTTTTCCAGTTACCAGACTGTATTCTGTATCCAATGCAATCAGTTCAGCAGATTAACTAATATGCTCTCCCAGGACAATTTTTACCATAAACTCTGCAACAGCACTCAGCAAAATACAAAGGCATACACTATGTCTCAGGGGAAAAAAAAAAAAAAAAAAAAAAAAAAAAAAAATCAGACCATTCAGTTTAGCTATATTACTAGAATCCAATATTTTTAATCTGTCCTAGCATCTTGACTTTCTTCAAACTGAAAAATCCATACTACTCAGCTGACATCATAAGATTCCACAATGCTTTCCAAAAGACAAGTAACTTCCTCAGTCTTGGAAGCTTATAACACTAAAACTACAATGTTTTCAATAAACCTACAAAGGAATAGAGGATAGCATTAATGGAAACAGTGTCAATTAGACACCAAAACTGCAAAAGAAAGGGCATTAATTTGTAGATAAACCTCTCATTAACGTCAACGGAAACTGTACCTCTGCCAGAACTTCAGAATGCAGAAACAGTAAGAATATGAACATAAGTGCACTACGTTTAGCTGATATTTTTAGTTCTAAATCTAGCACCACTGAGCAAAGAATCAGACACTCACTGGTCTTTCAGGATGTTACGAGTAGAGATAAAATACAGTCTTCCTTTATAGTCGCATACTATTTTTCTACTGAAAGACCTTGTAACGTGCATTGAAAGGATACTGTTGATCTGATTGATACTGATCCCCATGAAAAAAAATCATTTGCTTGGTCAGTACGCTGAGCAGGGGCGCAAATTAGGGGAACACCCTGGGCAGCACTGGGAGAGCTTGCCAGTTCCATGGCCCAGCAACCTGTTCTAGTTGGTTGGCCTCGGGACAGGTTTTGTAGCACTCCAGAGTCACTGTCCTCCTCATCTTCAGCTCCAAAGTCTGTTTCTCGGCCTCTTATCTCCAGCTTCTCTCCATTTCCATCTCAAGCACCATTCTTCCGTCTTCCCCCAGTTGTACTTCCCCTCCCCCAAAGGCCTCCCTCTATGTTCCTTCCAGCCTCTTTTTATTTTTTGCTATTACTTATATGAGATAAGCCAAAAGTGTAAAAGTTCTCTTGCATTACATATGTAATCAATACACTCAAAATAATCTGGGTATTACTCGAGGGATGTGGGTTGGATCAGTATTTGCATCAGTAGAAATAAGGGTTTGAGCTACCAAAGATGTGGTTATACACATGAAAGCACAGTAATTTTCTCACTATTTTTCTAGTATGCTCATCTCTGTACAGTCTGAGCACTTCATAAGTACTGACTTATTCTCCTAATTCCCATTCTATGAATATTAGAAACAAGAAGCTGAGGTGCAGACTGCATTTTCAAGCATGCAATCATTCTGGGTGCCAAATTTGAGAAAAAAAAGAGGTGACTCCAGGTGATGCAAGAAGATTCAGCACTCAGCAAAACACAGCCTCCATAAGCCACAGAACTGGAAATCATCACACATGCACACACAAAAATATCTATGTTTAAAGAATCTTGAGTTGTATCCTATAGGATCTCTATAACATTGACAGAGAAACAAGCCAGTTCTATGGCGCATCATTCAGTTAACCAGAAGATTTACTACTCTCGTAATTTCTCATCTCATTTGGTAATCACTTTCCAATTTCCATCTTCAAAATAAAGAAAGGGTTATCTTACAGATAATGCTCTAGAAAGCCTTTATTTATCCCACAGGAGATCCTTCTCATGCATAGAATAAAGCAGAAGTCCTGTGGAAAAACAGTCTTTTTAAATGCAGATTTGAATCTAATTTCCAACATTTTAGAAAGACAAATTTAAGGAAGAGGAAAACAAAGAATAAGATCTTTAAATACTGAAAAAAAAAAAAAAATGCTTTTCTTAGCCTTATTTTCAGAAGCATTTTAGTAGCTCTTCCATGCCAATCCAGAATCTAGCAAAGATAATTTCAGGCTAAAATAATAGTCTATGACAATGGCTGCAAGCAAACCAAAAATAGAATCTTGTCTCAGTAATTACCAAGCAACTTTAGTAACCATTAATACCAAGAGAAGTCTACAAGAAACTGATTCTTATTTTATATAGTCAAATATCTGAAAAAAATGGACTTGTACCTGCATGTTGTACGACCCATCTTGATTGTAACTTACAGCTACTTCCACAGCTGTTCAATAAAACAAAATATGTATATGTGAGTAGATTTAATTATAGGATCTAGAGATTAATGACATATAAACAATATTTAGTCTATCTTTCTTGATAAAAAAGAGACTACCAATACTAAGAAAAGAACAAGTATGTTCAGATTAGCTTAGTACACACTGCAGATCTTGTGCTGAATTCTAGACAATTTCTTTTTCAAAGATGAACACCTGAAGTTAGGCTCTGAAATCTGTATTAAGTTAAGTTATCTGGACAGAAAACAGGTTTTTGATGGGAAAAAGTGGTGAGCACCTTCCCACCAAAGTGAAGTTAAAAAAAAAATTTCAACCTTATTCATTTACATTATGAACATTAGTAGTGTCACTTGAATTTGGTTTATATCTCCTCAAGATCTAACAGTGTGGATTAAGCATACAATTCTGTTAGTTCCCATGTTAAATTGCATAAAATTCATACTGCTTCTATCTGTTGTTTCTTAGCCTGAATTTTCAAGCACCAGTTGAAATAATTTTATCTATCAAGTATCTCCTCTCCCTCCACACACTTTATGTACTTACTGTTTTCCCCATCCAGCAGAGACAGTTTTCTAGTATAACGTATATTTATTCTTCTACCAGTGCTGGATGCAAATGGTGAGAATTTATCTAAAACATAAAATATACCGATTTATTACTTTCATTCTACTTTGGCAAAACACAAAACTTATACCATAAAATCACTGTCCTACTATTACTACCATCACGTATTTATATTGCACATAAAAGACTGAGGAACCAGTGTAATAGATAGTGACAATCACTCACTTGAGCTTGAACACTGAATAAACTGATGCTGTGTGACCTACAGAAAACATGACACTAACAACAGCACTTACTAAGGATACTGACTGTTCTGCATGAACACATCCTTGAACAGGACAAGAAAGCATGGGAATTCAACTGCAACATCACAGATTCAGAATTAACTTTTAGGTGAAGGCTCCAACTGTAAGAGTGGTCAAACATGGCAGCAAATTGCCTGGGAAGACTGAGGGGTTTTCTGTTACTTGGTGGTTTTAAGAATGGATCAGGTGTACAGCTATCAAATACTGCCTGATTAGTTCATCATCTCTTGAAGCAAGGCAATAGCATATGGGAATCTTTCCAATCCCAGTCTCACATGTTTCCACAATATTTAAACTGGAGGAGGAAAGAAAATTAATGAGGCCACTGGCAGCACGTATTAGATTTCTATGAAGTTTTTGTTAACAGCAATCACATGCCACATGGGTATAGCCATTAACAGTGTCAGAACTTGAGAATATTCAGCTCCTGGAGTCCTGTTCATTACATTAAACCCTACTGCCTCGCCAAATTCTAGTAGAGTCAACTTTATCTCTGAAGACCTTGGGCCAACTGTGGGAATAAGTGACAGATACTCACTGTTTATGCTTGTGAAGAGCAAAGAGTACACGGTGACACTGATTATGAACCCCAAGGTCTTTCAGCTAGTGCCTATCAAGTGCTATGGGAAGCAGTCAGTACATTACAGGGGTGATACATTCAATATCTGTCCCTTAACAAAAGTTATAGTCTGCTCTGTGTGTAAATATCAGACAGATGCCAGAACACAGAACCCTGAGCACGCACAAACTAAGGCAAAAAGGGAGTACACAAATTAAACAATTGCACGTGAGCTTGCAGCACTCTCTCATCCAGTCACAAATGAAATAAAACAAAAGAAGAATGATCCTTACCATCTGACTGATCTCTAAAAGCATCTGTTAGCATTTTTTCTTTCAGTATGAGTCCTAGAGCTGCCTGACACACAACTTCATGTGGGGTTGCCTTTTTGGTTGGAAATAGTTCATCATAGTGTTGAGGAATGAAATTAGTGTGCACATTTCCAGCCTCAAACTGTGGGTGTCCTGACAGGCTCAGTAAGAAATCAATGTTAGTGCTTAATCCTACAATCTGTAAAGAAAAAGAAGCATATTGCCAAATTGAACTGAAGCTATGAATGAATATACAGCTTTCTGCTCAGCTTATGCACAGATGATAGATTAATTTTTCTTCAGGTGGTACCAACAAAACAAAGTCTATCAATATAATGTAATTAATTCATCTGGTCTGTTTTATTACCAATGAAACCATTGCTTTTTAAAAACAAAAACAAAACAATGAAACAAACAAGAATAGCTTTCTTGTTTTCAAAGTACTGTATTTGCAATATGCTACCTTTATCCACTGTGACGTCAAAGAAAGTTTCCCAGCAACAGTAATGGGAGGTAATTTAGGAAAAAAACCTGTTTCTGAAAATCATGCTCTGAGTATTTAAAAGAACATGCCTATTATGAAAAGTACCTTTTATTAAAAATGAGTTACAATAGTTTCAGATATTCCATATTCAATCTTTTAATAGCAACAAATGGGAACGGTGACTTTTATAAAGTTACTAGATACCATCCATTTCCTGTGTTGCAAAATACATCAAACAACATGAAAACAGAAATAATTATTTCAGAGAAATCAGTGAACTGCTAACTATATTCTGCTGTCAACATTCATTGACAGAACTACTAAGAAAATTTTGAAAAGACCCAAGGAAATTCTTTTCTCTCTTTCACTGGCAGTAATCTTCATTTTTAGCTAAAACAATAGTGGGCCAAACATTTTCAGTACCTCAATCATGTTTATGTTGTTGATTTAAAAGTGTAAATTAATTCTGCACAAATAACATTCGGTCTCACCTCAAGTCAAACCTTCTGAATTCCGCTTTTGAAAATAGATACAATACCTGTAGTTTTTATAGGGGAAAAAAGGACCAATTCTTAAAAAGAACTGACAGCATTAAAAATTCTCCATATTTCTCTACCGCATGTATAGTCTAAAAATTTAATTGTTTTTATAGATTAGAAATTACAAGGAAACATCTTCTGACAAATTCCACCTACAAATTCCTTTAAGTTTGAGAAAGCTTACACTACAACTGAAAACGCTGTTTAGCCTTACTCTTCTACAGAGTCCCAGCTGCATCATCCAACTGAGGATATCACAAACTTAAGAAAAGTTAATGTGTAAAACTGGACTTCACACTTCTCTACTCACTCCACCAATGAAAACAGCTTGCAAATTAGGAAAAAATACAGTTTCTGCAAGCAAATAATAATCTGAAATAGTAGTGGCAACAGGCTCCCTCTTAGAAACCACTTTTGTTTTATTGAGTATTTTGTCCATATTTTGTTAGCTCAGGATGTTCACAAAATTAGCTCAAGATCTGAAATCACACTGGGTTCCTTCTACTTACATTATATTGGTGCAAACTGTATCGCAACTTTCTCAGTGCTGCTTGACGATCCTCAGCCCAAACAACTAGCTTTGCAATCATTGGATCATAATGAACAGAAACCTCATCACCTAAAATATATTTAAAAAATGCTGTAACACTAAACCAAGTATTTCTGAAAGTTGGTAATGCATAGTATTGCACACCATATGGCATTAAACTCACAACTGATGGCCACATTTCTCTCTGTCATTAATGAACATTAACCTATAATGATGTGATCTAGCATTTCAATTCCAAGGACAACTTCAGTACAGAGTTTTGTAGAAGTAACATTACTCAAATTCAGTTTTCTTTGTTGCAATCAGAATGCAGGACTGATAAATTGTGACAAAAATAAAATCAGCATGATCCAACATACAATAATTTGGAGACAGGTAAATAAAATATTTAGTGATTGACCAAAAGTACATGGACAATCACAAGAAAGAATAATGCTGTAGAGATTTGTCTTTATAACAACACCATGTCAGACAAACTTATTTAGATCAAAGAGGGAACTGCTGACAAAGAAAAGCTTTTGATGTTAAATATTTCTGATTACACCAATGCCTTCAGTTTTACCTTGTCTGACTCCAGTTTCTATCCTGGTGAAACTATCAGGTGGTGGGGTGGATAAGTGCAACAACGGCCCAGCCCCTGGCATAAAGTTATTATTAGGGTCTTCAGCATATATTCTAGCTTCAAACGCATGGCCCCGGAGCAGAATCTCCTCCTGCCTTAGGGGAATCTTCTCTCCTGCTGCGACCTGAAAACAATATTTATTTTCTTTATTGTAGGATCAATATTCTGGAGTGCCAGTGTATGAAATATGAAGTATCTTTCTTCTAAACATGAACAACTAGAAGCATATTAAGAAAAGCACAAGGAGAAAAAAAGCGATAGGCCATAAAAGGCTAATTCTGAAGTTACTCCTTCCTTTTCTCTGGGAGTCACCAGTCAAAGGATTTTGCATTATTATTATGTAAACTGACCTCCTAATATTTCACACAGCTAAAACATAACGGAAAAACAGTTTAATTTTTTTTCTACTGGTTATGTCAAAAGATAATTAATTGTTTAAGTTAAAGCCTGGTCAACTAAGACAGGATTTTATTTGAGAAAAATTGCTCCAAAAGCAGATGATAAAATGGATTACCGACAGCCAGCACTACTGGCATACACTGTTCATTCTTCTGTATACTGTCGGACCTGTATATTTAAGGGAATGCTTCTCTAAGGGGATTTGTAACGCTTTAAGAACCTTTAATGGGGAAAGAAACATTGGTTTATTACTCAAAAGAATTCACATTACAAATACAGGAGTACCAACAAACACCAGCAACACACCAGTTTGAGACTGAGAAAACAGGGACAAAATAAGAAGCCTGCTGCAGTTAAGCACAGAGGAGACCCTTTACCAGGAAGCTACACAATTTTCATCTACATTGGAAAAAACAGGTTCCTATTAAAAAAACTGTAGCAACATTTCATCTTCTTTTGAAGTGTCACGGGTTTTCCATTATCAGCCTTCTGCCACCAAACTATGGATTTCAGCAGAGACAGCAGAACATAACTCAGTCTTCAAAGAAAGAGTAGTACTATACAGATTCACAAAAATAATCTCTGCAAGAACTGACAGCCAGCCAAGACCACTGAACCTTTCCACCTTATCTCTTTCCTCCAGTATTGTTTGATCCCTGCTTCAACGCAGCACTCACTGCTCAATTTCCACTCCCAGATCGGGAAGCCAAAAATTCCTTTTTGCATCAGCATTTGCCATTTTAGTTTTCTTTCTGGTTACACTAAACATGCCCCTACTGTATCTACTTAAGCTCCGTGTGTGCTGCTGTCCTCACTTTTGGATATATCTAACCAGAACTGGTTTTCATTTCCAGTTCCTTAAGGTCCAAAACTTCCTGTTATCATTCGAACATGTGAGTAATCTCTGCAAATTGGGTGTGTGAGGAAATAGCTTGTTTCCAGTCCACACAACTATACATTTATTTTAGAATGTGACTATACTGGTATAACATAGGACACATGTTTTTGTGAAGAGTTTTCCTCCTACAACCTGATCAAATTCAAATAATGTTTTTTGGGGCAGAGATACATTTGAACTAGTTTTAAAAAATTTTCAGCTTGGTCAGTGAAAGATGAGGACATTACTCCTCTCACTTTCCACATTCTCTGTAACCTCTCTAAATATACTTTCAAAAATGTTTTTTCTCTACACAACTGGAAGAATATTTTGTTGGAATTCAGAGCATCTACACAATGCTCTACAATCAAATACAGTAATATGAGATGTTCCTTTGGAGCAAAGGAAACTCTACCCTATTAGCTGAACAGAAGATGAGGATCTGAAAACCTATCTGGGTCTCATTGGCAATATCAAAGAGCACTAGTCAGACAAGAGGAACTCTACATGTAAAAGCAATTAACACTTACCCTAAGCTGCCATTCCACCAAGTCTGTTCCAGTGATCATTTCTGTAACTGGGTGCTCTACTTGCAGTCTGGTATTCATCTCCATGAAGTAAAAATTATGTCGAGAGTCCATAATAAATTCCACCGTTCCTGAAGTAATTAATAAAAGGGCACTTGACCAAAACGACTTTTTCAGAATGGACACCTAAGACACTTAATTAATTTATGCCAGGACAAGACTATTATTTCTAAATCACATACACTGAATTTCATTAAATTCTATATAAATTTCACACAGTTGAGGTCTGAAAACAGAAGGGTTGTTTCCTTGCACATGTATATATCCTGTGCCGTTTCATAGCCATTCTCTTCTACATTAAGATCTGCAATTCATTAGAGCTGTAAAAAGTGCATCGAGACTCATTAAAGTATTGTGTATATGTATAGGGCATGTAATTCTATTTTTAAAGTAAAAGATGGAATCTTTCCAAAGATGGCAGTGAGAAAAGAAAGTCACAAAGCATTTTAGCAGGTTATTTTTCATCTGTGAAATAGTGTGGACTTTTCAGACAGTGAGTTGTAGTTTTCTTTTAAAGGCTTTACTGTTTGAGTATGAAGTATTAATCTATGTATGCTGAGAGAGAGATTATTTTTGCCTTACTCTGATCAAACTTAACATCCATAATGCTCACTCTCCAACATCAATCTAGTTGATTGAATCATCTGCTCTGAAATTTTTTCTTCCTATTCTTCAGCTGCCACTGGTCTGCAGCTCAGACCAGGTATGCTAATTTAAATTTGTAATTACATCAGAAGTAGTTATGTGATTACTTGCTTAAACCTCAAAAAAATTGGGGGATGTGTGTCATACTCTAAAACAATCAGATGTCATTCACCTTGAGGCTTAAAGTCTTATTAAGTTAAAAGCATACCTCTGGAGCAGCCATACCTCCACAGACTTACCTGCTCCCACATAATTCACTGCTTTAGCTGCTTTGACAGCAGCTTCTCCAAGTCTCTTTCGAACTTCATGATTAATTCCTGGCTGTAAATAATAATAATACAAAAGATTATAAATTATTGTGCATGTTAGTAATATTAAACCTACTATGCATTAATATTTTGTGGTATTTAGCAACTGTCATGAAATCCTTATCAATGTTATACTTGAAAACTACATAATGTTTCCCTGAGAATCATTTTCCTAAAGAAAGACATTTTTTCATTTGGAACTTTTTTTGCAGCAAAATTAAAACAGGTACTGAGAATTGCAAATAAATTACTACTCACTGAATAAATTAGAAGGGGGTTAGCAATTACATTAAAAATATGTCAGTTCATAGAAATACTATAAGAACTCTCTGCTCACCCCTGGTGCCTCTTCAATGATCTTCTGATGTCTCCTTTGCACACTGCAGTCTCTTTCAAATAAATACACTGCATTGCCATGCTGGTCACCAAATACTTGGACTTCAACATGCCTGTTCCATAATAATAAATGTTTTAAACGTATTTCAACAAAGCCCCAATCCTGCAACTGACTTCAACCAAACAAACTTTGAACTTTTACACAGCTACTGCAGTGAAACCTCAGAGGTCACAGGATAAACAAGATACATATCTAAAGACTTCTACCTCTTTATTAGTTATTTTATTATAATAAAAGTAAAACCACCTCATTATTATTTGATAATGATGATTTCTCTCATAATTTACTGTGTAGCAATTCACAAGAGGCAGCAGCCCTGGCTCAGGAATAACACTTTTTATTTCAACATGCTATTTCAGAGGACAAATATTACGAGGCAGAACTTCATTCCATGCATAAAACTAACAAAAATCTGTCACCTTTCTGATAATCCTCTGATGCTGGCAAAAGAAATTCCCCAGGAATTTAATGAGATTTTTCTCATGTCCATTTGACAGCGTAAGCAGGTCCACAGTTTCTTTAGAACAAATGCTTAATTTATACTGATGCAAAACCAAAGTACAACAGTACCAAGTAGACCTTTGTGTGAAGTTCTTTATAAAAAACAAATAAACTCAGTTTCAAAGGCCAGGCATGAGGCTAAAGACTATCTAAAGACTATCACTTGTTTTAAATATCAAACTAGAGAAAGATTAAATAACTAGTTCAGGACATCTGAGGGCAGCAGAAACACCATGACAGCTTCACTCAGATCTGGGCTTTAAGTATTATAAAGTGATTTTTTTTTTTCTAGATGTAAATCAAGTTTAAAAAGCTCACTTAAGGAGGAATATCAGTGTCATTAAACATCACTGCCACGTCTCCCAAACAGCAGTATTTTAATTCTTATCATTCCAAAGTCACTACAAGAAATTCAATATATTGTCAACAATTTTGACTAAATTAACACCTGCCATAGTGCAAATAAAACATACAAGAGCAATTTTCATCCTACTACTAAAAAAGTTGTGTTTATTTAACAGTAGAATAAACATTACAGTGTTTATATTAGAACATCTATTTCTCACCTTGGATTATCTACAAATTTCTCAATCAGCATTGCATCATCATTGAAAGACTTCTTTGCTTCTCTCCTAGCTGATTCTAGTTGGTCCCAAAACTCCTTTTCCGAGCGAGCAATTCTCATGCCCTAAAATACAGAAAAAAAAGCGTATCTAAATGTCTAAAAATACGATACACAAAAATCCTCGTTGTTCAGAGACAGCAAGAAATGAGCTTAATGATAGTAGTTTCCTTATTTCTTGAACTTTAGCAAGATTGTGTATCAGCTTCCAGTAAGATAATCCTACTAAGTCCCACTGAAAATGCTCAAACCACAACAGAAGTGTAAAAAAACACATGATCATTCCATTAATATGGATGAGTACAAAATTAAATTTTATTCTTAAACATCACAGAAATTTTCCAAGGTTGGCAGAGAAAAACCTATTTTATTACAAAACAGGTATAGCTATTTTGAAAATAATTAGAATTCTCTATCATGCCATTTTTATATAAATTTATTTCAGAGTAAAATCAGATTTAGTCATTAAATTCACCACACATTAGAAAGTGTCTAGACACCAAATACCTAAAATGGTATTTCTAATCACTTCTAATGCAACACTTAAAACTGTTAGTAAAAAGTCACAGAAGCTATCACAAAGTAACAATTTAAAGTCATCTAATTTCACACAAACAAATGCAATGGACACCTTTTCTGCTTATGTGAATTACTGGAGATCCACTGAAATAAACAAAACTCTTCCAATTTATACGAGCTACTTATCTTGTACCTGACTGCACAACAAATGGAAATGAGATTTTGTAGTGCTAGATCAGACATTAACAATAACTTTTAACAAAAGGTAGTTTTTCGGTTTCTTTGTTTTCAGATTTCTTTTAGAATATTCAGTTACAGATATCAAGGCATGACAACTTTACACCATGTGATGAACAGATTAGTTCCTTTACCTTCCCTCCACCTCCACGAACAGCTTTAATCATTACTGGATATCCTATTCTCTTGGCATGTTCCTTTAGACACTCATCTGATTGATCTTCTCCATGATAACCTTCAACAACAGGAACGCCAGCAGCAGACATTATAGCTTTGGAAGTGCTTTGACAGAACAGTTTTATGTTTAGAATGATAATAGTAATTTTTTTCTTACTTTAAGTTCCAAACCTATATATGTTCCCAATGCTAATTCTTCTCACAAAAGTAGTTCCACTGACCTCAAAAGGACTACTTATGTAAGTGGGTTACTTACGATTAATTAAATCCAATCAAATGTTTCAAATAAGGATTTTTTCCTCCAAGCCCTCCACATAAAAGCAGTAGTTTCTTTCAGGCTTACTGTTCTTTCCTATCTTGCGACCCACATTATAGAGGCCAAAACTTAACATTTTCAAATTATAACACTGTATCCTGCCAAAACTATATTTAAAGTTGTACAAAGGCAAAACTCTTTTCATGATACAGGCTGGATTAACACCACACACCACACTCATGCATAACAACTATAATTTCAAATATGCATGCAAAACTAGTTAAATTACAGAGGTAATTTACTCTCACATTAGGAAGTGATAAAAAATTAATTCTCTGAAATGACACAGTTCATGTGTTAGTAATAACCTTATTTTCATACTCTTGATTTATACTTCATACCCTGGAAACATCTCTTTGATCTAAGTAACTAAGATTAAGATCCTCTGTGATGAATAGAACTTATCACCCCATTTTACATGAGCCACAATAACCCTTGATGATATGTTATTTCTTTTCCACTGTTCTTTTGACCAATATACAAGACATCCAATCTGACTGCTGAACCCTCAACTATATAACACTGCAATGCCCCAGTTCTGGAAAACTAGATTTAGTTATGTATTTAATTACCAAAATCCTAATAGCTGAACAATCCTGATTGTTTCTATGTCTATAGGAATCCCACATCTATAAACCTGGAGCTTATTCCTTTGGAGAAAGACATCAAAATAAAAGGCAAAGAAAATTGACAGAATAAAACAATTTTGGAGCAAGTGGTCATTTGTTAACAAAATTAGCTTTGCCAAACTGTAAACTGCATAACCAAGTAACAAATCAGAAGCAGATACCTCTTAATACCCATATCTCTGATAGCAGATGAAGGCGGACCTATGAAGATGATTCCTTCTTGCTTGCATAATTCTGCAAACTCTGTGTTTTCTGAGAGGAAACCATAACCTGGATGAATAGCCTAAAATAAAATAACGTTACCAGTCTATTTTTTTATCAGTTTAGCTTAGAAAACCCTGAAACTTCATTAGAATGCTAAGGAAACATAAGATGGAAACACTGTGGGTAAAAACAAATAACTAAAGAGCATGGAATTAATGAAAGATTTAAGGTCATGATCTACTTACCTGAGCTGCTGAGACCTTGGCCACCTGCATTATTTTCTCCATGGCCAAGTAACTCTGCTGTGAGGGTGCTGGACCAATGCAATATGCTTCATCTGCCTGTTAGAGAAAAGAATACATATAACACAAATGGCTTATTAGATAATAAAAAGCAAGTTTAACTGAATTTCTGAGCTAATTATATTGTTTATCAGAGTGCTAGCGTGCAACAGTTTAAATCACTGCTTCTCTTCATGAAGAGACTCAGGTGGGTGAAACAAATCCTGACTTTCTTCTCAAAATCAGAGTCCATTCTCTAACCCACAGTGGCTACTCCGGCATTAGAGTGCCAAACTTTAAGGCACTTCCTGGAAAAATTGTCAGGTGCTGAGACAGAGAGTAGGCAAACTTTTTACTGATTCAAGGAAAACTTGGAAGTAACGTTACAGAGGTAAAAATCAACTGCATTAGCACACACATCTACTTTCACATTGAACATATAAATGAGGAATACTGTTGTGAATGAACATTAATCACAAACTTAATAAGTATACTTCACCATTGCTACATGCATGGAATTTCTGTCTGCTTCACTATAAACTGCTACAGACTTCACACCCATTTTCTTTGCTGTTCGCATCACTCTGCATGCAATTTCTCCTCGGTTTGCGATAAGAATCTTCCCAATGTTGTGACCTCCTGTATAAAAAGGATGAAGCACAATAAGCACTTTTTAGAATAAATGTATCCTTAAAAACTTTCCTGGAAATAAAGCAATCTTAAAACGTAGATGTCTTTTTCATCATTTATAGTGTTTATGCATTTCTTCCAATAATGAAAAAACATGCTTCATCCAAAAGCACTTCCATGCTTGTCTTGGCATTTTTTCCTAAGAGTTCTTATACAGAAGTATGTTTAAGTTTGGGGGTTGGGTTTTTTTTTTTTTTTCTTTTTTAGAATCCAAGAAATACATTCTAACCCTAAAACAACATTTAAACATAAAAGTTGATGCTTACATTTTTACTGTGCACTTTCCGGAACAACTAGGGAACAATTATCACCTGTCACACCACACACACACACACTCCCACCCCCCAAAAAAAGTGAATCACATTTCTTTGAAGAACATTATTCCCCATTGATACACAGTCACAAATAAATAACAAGGTATTAAGTTTTTTGTTGCATGTTGTGGGGTTTTTGTTTTTTAAACAGTGACATAAAAGTTTCTATTAAGCCTCATGACAGCAGTTAAAACATAATAGAAATAAAAGGCCACCACAGCCAGAGACTTCACAGGCAGAACTAAATTGCTGAAAGCTACCTAATAAAATGAACATATACCTCTGAATTCTAAAACATACTTTTTTAGACAACATGACAAGAGGGTCAGTTTAAAACATCTTGCTGACTATTTTTTACTTTCCTTAATATGTTTAAATATCATTATGCCTGAAAAACAATTCTCACAGACTTTGAAACGTTTGTATCAGAAAAGGACTCCAAGGAAAACATCACAAAAATAAACTGTTTTCATTGAGTATACCTAAATATGACAGATAAAATTATTCAAAATGTTTACACATTAAGAGAAATCATTTTTAGTTAAGCTATAGACTACTGTTTTCTAAAATTACACAATTATTGACTTTATTTAAAAAACCTAGCTTTTCAGCAACTAACGGTCTAAAACTAACAGTAACAAAATTAATTAAAACTAGTAGCTAAAGAAGCTGAATTTCATACCTATTGTTGAGGCCCATTTCACAAATCTTTGTACATGGTTCCATTGCCTGTACAATTGCAAACACACAGAAGTGTTACAAAAGTATATGAAGAAGTGGCAGCTGAGCTATTTTTATTTTCAGGAGAGTGCTAACACATCTCTGAAGCTTTTGATACAATTATTTACACAGAACATACTGAAGTACAAGGAAGGTTGTACAAACTTCATCAGATCTCTCCTTAAGTATTTTTATTCAGACACAACAAAAACTATCCCCTTGCTTGTTTAGCAGCATTCAAATTGAAATAGTTTTTTTAAAAAGCAAACAAACCAACCAACCAACAACACTATTTCAGCGGACAGAACAGCCAACACTTAGCATTTATTACAGAGAAGGCAACTCGTATTCGGGAAAGAAGACATGAACCAGCACAAAACATAAAAGCTTAAAAAGTAAATACGAGTTTTAAAGAGGAAAGGTGCAAGAGAAAAATATGTGAAAGATAGCAAGAAAGAAGAGCTACAAAGAATTTCAGCAATTACAAGTTAAACATCGAACAACTAATATTAAAGAAATCGGTGCAGGCTACGTGGCTGGAAGAAACTGTAAAAGTAAACTCTTGGAACTGTTTTAATTAACAATTAAGTCAACTTTAGAATCTTGGATCAAGTCCAGCAATTCTCAAACTCTACCACACAAAAAGCCACCAGCGGTCCTTGACACAACGCAACCAAAAGCTCGGTTTCAACAACGAGCAAGGAGACCAGTGCACATCCTAAACTTTCTAATACACAGCCCCAGCTGTCACCCCACTGCTGCCCGGGACTGCCGGCAGCGCAGGGGCGGCCACAGCGGGAGCCAGAAACGGTTACCGGACCCCCCGCACCCAGGACAGCTTCATGGGACCCGTGCCAACCGCTAAAACAACGCTGGACACTCCAGGCGGGTTTGTTTGGGGTTTGTTTTTTTTTTTTTGAGTTCCTTTCCCCAGAGGAGCCCGGCGTACCTGTACCCCCCTCACACACGCACCGCCCTCCGCACCGAGCGGCGGCCCGGCACCCCCCGAGGCGCTGAGCCCCGTCCCTCTCTTTCCTCGGGCAACCCGGCTCCAGGCTCGGCTTCGCGAAGCCTCCCCGGGCCCCACAGCCGCCGCCGCCGGCTCCCCCCTGCCAGCCCCGGTTAACGGCCGCCACGGCGCGCCCCGCCCCAGCGGCGCGGAGAAGGGCAGGAGAGCGTCGGCCATCCCGCCCGGCCCAGCCCGGCCCGGCCCGGCCCGGGCACAGCGAGGGGACGCAGCGGCAGCACCCGCCGCCCCGCACTCACCGCCGCCGGAGCGCCCACAGGCAGCAGCCGCCCCGCTCGGCCGCCAGCACCAGCGCCATGTTGGCGAGCGCGGGGAGCGGCGGGACGGAGGGTGTGGGCGCTGGGCCGGCCGGCAGTGGCTGCCGCCGCAGGGGCGGGCTGAGGCGGGGCAGAAAGCGGTCGGGGCAGCGGGAGGCCGCGGGGAGAGGGGTTGCGTGCTCGCTGCCGAGCGATCCGGGCGAGGGGACGAAATGGCTGTCGGGGGCGGGCAGAGCCAGGAGAAGGCGGCAGGGCTCGGATGACACCGAAAAAAACAGGCGGTAAAACGGCAGATCAAGCAAAATTCATACAAATGTGAAGTAACGTACGCTGCAGGAGGACTGCTGGCTATGTTCGGGCTCTGAGCCGGCCATCTTCCTTCGAGAATGACATCTGGGGTTGTAATAGAACAGCAACGCGGAACGTGGGGGTGGACGGGAGGGGCAGGGGAATCCCCAGACACCGGAACGTCCCAGTGCCCAGGCCTGACTCCTCACGTCAAAACTGTACGGTGCAAATGGAAGAAGTTCAGATTGCTGTGGGACCAGCGCACCCCGCCCTCTTGTGAGCAGCGAGCAGGCTCGGCCGCGCTGCTCCCTCGGGCTTCACGGGTTTGCTGGTCACCGCGGTGCGGGGCCTCGCTGACCCCCCCTGCGCGGCGCCTGAGGGGAGCTGGGCCTCCGGCCAGGCCGCGGCCCGCTGTTCTCCTTTTCCACGCTCCGCTGGGTCTCGTAAGGCAGCAAGAAAACGAGGGTGAATTCCCAAGGTCACCTCGTTTTGCCTGAGTCACGCTGATTTACTGAACAATAACGTTCTGATAAACTGTGATACAGATAGACTACAATAAAGCATTTCCAAAGTAGTGTTTCACGTGACCATGACTTTAAGATCGGTTACATAAAAAAAAAAACAACCAACCAACCAAACAAACAAACAAAAAAAAAAACACAAAAAAAACACCCCACCAACCTCAACAGTGGCACTTAGTCAAAATAAGTATTTCTAGTTGCTGCTTACAAATAACAAAGCCACCATGCTTTTTCACAGAAGGAATACACAAGCTATCAGTTGTAATAGTGGTAGTATTTAACATGTCTTACGTGTTCTTGGTACTCTGAGGCATTAACACAGTTTCCTACATCAAGAGCATTCTTAGTATGCAGGTAATCTCTGCTTGTTCCGCTGATGCTTTTTCTGATTTGGCATGGTGACCTCTCACACCAGGGGCTGAGTGGTTGTACTAGGTTACGCAGACACCAGATCAGCTTGGGGAATCAGCTGTGGTTCCTTGAACCTGACTGCAGGAGGTGGTGGGCTCAGCACTTTCTCTAAAGTTGAGATTTAGAAACTGAATTATTAACTGAAGCTACAACTTTTCAATAATTAATTCAGTTCATTCTTATTCAGCATACTGACAGCATAGATCCTACTTTAGTCCTTTGAAATCCAGATTTTAAAAACTTTCAGCATGTTTGTCTCTAAACACAAGATGGCAGCATTTTATGTAGTTTACCATTGAACATTGGGAAGAGCTGCAGATACTTCATAATACATAAATCAGACGTGGTGGAGGAGTTTACGCTTTGAACAGTAGAACTAATGGAAGCTGCAAACTAATTTGTATTGCACATCTACTCTTGGTGAAGGCATCCTGCAACTATGGCTTTTAGGGCTTGAAAAGTCAAGCAGGATCACCAGAGTGTATATGAAGATGTTTGAAAGTGCAATGTAATAAAACTGAAATGCAGACACTAATAATTTTGTCACTGACACCAGTAATATGCTTAATGTGCATGTACATAGATAGAGGCACGGTGATGAACCTAGTGATGTACTGGATAGGTTGGACTGGCAACATTTTAAATTTTATTGTGGAAGCTTGCCATATTTTGAAGCTGCTTTGCAGTAATAATGTGAGTACTTTTCTCATTTTTTTTTTCCATGAGCAGACTGTGAACATCATAATTTGTTCGAAATATGAACTAGTTTTCCTCGAGGAGATGAAAAAAAATGTCATTCCATGGAAAAATGAATGAGGTTAAACATTGGCTGCATTTATGGATCATATTCTTCAGAAATTTATGGGGTATAGGAAAGCCCCAGCAAAGCTGAGGTTCAAAACCAAGATCTTTGTCTCTACTCTGTGCAGATTTTCTGACTTTTCTGACTCAGATTGGATACTTTCCTTTTTCTCAAAGGCCATTTATTTATCTTGTTTCTGCATGTGGAAAATGCAACCTATTCATTTTTTAAATTTTGAAGAAAGAGTTAAGTAAGCAACTGAGCCGATTATAATTTAATAAAATACTTGCAATCTACCAACTTCATAGGCAATAGGACTTGCAGAAAAAGGGAATTGCAGGTTTTGTGACATTTCGTGGCTAGCTGGGAAAGCCCAGATGCTGATGAAAGCCCACAAGCGTGAGTGTTGCTGTGACTGGTAAACTTCAGACACACATACCTCTGCATTATTGGCATGCAATGGCCACAGCCATGGATGTGAGAAAGAGTAGTCTCCAAATGTCATGTCACCTTACTAGTGAGGGTTAACTTTATAGAAAGCTTTCTCTCCTCACCCTTGTTATTTTCCTCAAATTGATGCTTTAAAAAAATCCTTCCTTTTTCTTCTAGACACTCTGATGCAAAGTTTCTCCAGTGGATTCAAAACCTTTGTGCTTCTGGGAGAGTGAGATTCTTACCATAATTCCTAAGATCGTTATCTGTGAAAACAGTTTAAACATGAAGTAACAAGCATCCATCACATCTGCTGTGAGTTATGGTCTGTGTTTATTGGACCAATAGGAAACAAAAAGAGGTTTAGTCATATAAAGAAACACAGTGAATTCAGATACTCTGGAAGTTGTTGGGAGATTAACAAAAAACCACATAGTATTTTCAATGCTTTTTTATTATTACTATTTTTAATGCTGATGAAACGAAGATAGAAATGTCAGATGATCTGCCCAAGCCAGAGAAGAAATAATCATCAAAGTTATGGTTAGGATATAAACATATCTGTGTCTGTGGCTTGTGTCTGGAGCCCATAGGATCCTGCCTGTTTGTTAGATTGTACTTGCATTTTAAGCAGTTTAGATGAAACAGTGCTTGAGAGAGAAAATAATTGCACAGCAGTGCACACTTTAATGACTAAATATAACCTTTATTATAGAGACAACAATAATAGAAAAATAAAGAGCATATCTTAGTTCTCATAGCAAATTATTTTTTAGCAACCATATATTATAGCAAGCTAGAAGTGATCAATCAAACCATTATCATACACTCAAGATGCTAATCTACATCTCCCTTCCTCTTTCAACCAGAATTAACAGCTGTTTTTCAATTTGAACTTCGTCCACCAGAGAGCAAAAAGCACTGAAAGAAATTAATTCTTACTTTATAAACTTTGGCAGTTTGTCGAAGTATGACATCGTCACGCGCATGGGGTGCCCTTGTGTCTACCTGGGGTGTGCAAGAGACCACAGTGAATGGTCTGGGGTGAGAGCTGCAGCGGAGCATCAGGGAGTTACAGGGACGTGCTCACTTCCCAATTTCTGTGAGTGGCCCTGCTGTATCCTGACCAGCACTTGCTCGCAAGCAAGTTAAGCGTAGCTTCCCTGATGGGACACATCACGTCATGATCAATAGCTTCTGCTTTGGGGATGGGTTGATCTGAGCCCGTAACTGGGGAGAAAGGTGAGCTGGGGCTCAACATTGCTGGTCACACTGGGACTCAGCTGCAACCTTGCCCCCTCCCACAGCAGGCTGTGCTTTTCCCTCATCTCTCTTAGTACATGGTCTCATGCTGACTATGTGAAGGTTTTTGGCATGCAGATTTTTAGGGCAGGTTGGTTGGTAAACCCTTGTCCCAAGCAATGAGCAGGTTGCTGAACAAGAGCCTGACTATGGCAAAGAGCAGCCCTGGGAGGGAAGCAATCTGCCAGACTTAGAAAGTACTGTTTTCATTTACATCCATATTGACTGAAAGCAAAGAAACCGGGCACTCCTGCTCATGGTGTAACTGTTATGACCCACCTAGTGTACAACTATTTTATCATAAGAGCCTCTTCTTTGTACGGTGCTCTTTTAAGGACTTTTGGCTCAAAATGTTTCCTCAGAAAAGCTGTTTAAAAAAGGTCTGGCAACCAAGACCAATTACACCTATAGAGTCTTCCCACTGGGAGGAGGACGTGAAAGCAACTCCATCAGATAAAAAAATGCCAGCCAAATATCTACCTAAATTCTGGCAGAATATATATACTGGTGTCAGCTTTAAAAGCTGCACATGGCAACTCGGGGAGCAGCTGGGCTGTCTAATTCTAATTCAGCATTAAATTCAGAGAGGCAACGCTCCCTGCTGTGCTGGCATGCTGACCCACATCCCTGCTGCAGGCTGTGTGTTTTGTGGTCAGGGGAGGAGGTGAGGGCATGCAGGCTGGGCTGCAGGTGGGAGAAAGGTTGCTCTTAGGGGCTGGGGTCTCCTGATGCAGTAAGGAATTCTCCAGTGGATCCTCCGTTACTGTAAAGCACTAACTCCACTGGATTCATTTTGCTGCATGTTGGCAGTGTTTCACGGGAGCATCCAGTTGTTTCATAGTTTTATACCACGTGCACTTTACCTGTGCCATTTAGAGCAAGCCTAGAGTATTATTCATCTGGAAAGGGCAGTATGCAGCTTCATAAAAACAGCAAACAAATAATAGCAATAAAAAGCATAAGAACAAATTGAGTAAACCTGAATCCAAACATTGTTCAATACCAATAGTCTGAATCACTGTAGAAAGAAAAAAGTGGGGGGAAAAAAAACATTAACCTTGCATCATCAGTAAAAATGCCAGAGGGTGTTACAAGATTAAACACAGAATTATCAGTTATTAAGAACAGTTTTCTCTCCTCATGTTGATACAAAATGTTAAAACACTGAATATTAACATGAAGAGATTCTTCAGTACCAAACACAACAAAAAAACGCTGTATCAGCAGAATTAACAAACTGTACAGATCGGGCAACCCAACCATCCAAATAACATGTGAAATAGGACTTAGTTTTGAATGGGAAAGATGTCTATCGATCACTAGTCACAACGGCTTAGGGTCAGATCATGTGTGGTGCTGAGCTGTTTAGGCAGCGTATGTCGTTAAAACGTCCACATGTAATGGCTTGGGACTACTGCATACATAGGCTTATTTTCAAATATTTACATTTACTGCTGGACATCTCATCGATTCTCTTGCTTCTTAAAAAAGTTAATGCTTTACTCGAGTATAAAAAGATGCTTTCTAAACAACAGATGAGCAGTATTAGCTAACCCTGGGAACTAGAGGGATCTTACTAAGCTAAAGGCCTGAACAGTGGCCACTGAGGTCAGTGGGCTGCTTGTCCACTAACTGGGGAGGGAAGGAAGAAGGGTGAAAATAAGCTAGATAAAGTTCACTAAACAGTATTAACAGTGCTGGAACCTTTTACAAAACAATAATTGAAATACTCAGATTTCAATTTGAGTATTCAACTGAATACAGTTCAAACCACTTTATCTGTGTTAAAGGTTGGAAAATTTGGTGTTCAGTTTCTTGTGCTAATTTATAATCATATTCATCTGCCTCCCTTGCTCACAGCTGGTTCTGACTTCTGTCTTTGTTTCTCCCAGTGCAAAAGTGCTTCAAAATTGTCTTTATCTTTCTTATTTATTGGTTCATTCAGATTCAAATGTAACATTTCTGGAGACTTAATTACTTGCACAGCTACATATTACGTCAATTTTGGAACAGCATGACCATGTTTCCTGCTTGACACAGACCAGCATCTTCTAGTAATTAATGGCACAAAAGGATTTATTTTCTTCTTTAATTTAAATAAGTAAACTCTCAATGGTTAAATACTAGTGAAATATCAAAACTATTTTAAAAATACTTAAGGGAAATTGAACTCACAAAATATTGTCAGTTTTACTCAGTGAAAATCCAGTGAGGTTCTATCACCATTAGTAATTGCTCAGGATTTGGGCCATTATTAATGGAAATTAAATTAGCTCCCAGCATTTCTGTTTTATTTAGATCCAGATTAAAGTAATGACAAGGAATTTTTGCAGATGACTTCAGTCTTTCTTATGTTTAATGGGTGCCATTCCGCGGTCCTTTTCTAAGCAAAGCTTTTATTGGTAGAATTTAAGCCATTACTCTAACTCCTAAGGGGGAAGTGTGCTGTTATTTAATATTATTTTCTTTTGTAAATGTTTCTGTATGTCATTTATTATAATGTTGATGCCGTTTGCTGCAGTAAACAGATTGTGTGGTATGTGCACGTGTATGTGCACATTTGTGGATATGTTTAGCTTTGTAAATCTTTTGTGGTAAGATTTTCCTTATTACAACAAAGAACATTAGCTGAACTTAATCTCAAAAGCAATTACTACTTTCATGCCTTCATCATTGGCTTAGCAGGAAACACACTACAGAGCGTATCAGTGTGCTTTAAAGCAACTCCAAATTATTTCCATATGAGAATCCAGCTGCTCAGCTGTGAGCACACTAGATAGCATTCCCTTTTGGGCAGAGAGTTTGTCCAAGGCCTCTGCGAGCTTTTGTTTCCCACAGAAGCCTCGACCATACAGCGCCAGTGGATTTCCATTTGCTCATGGACCTTGTGCAGGTCTACCACAATTGTGGCCACTTAATCCCTGGCATTTTCTGCGAGTGTGGTGTCTTCCTAGATTAAGAGAGATCACAGTGCTGCCGCCTCAGTAGCGGGGCAGTTACTGAGTTCAGCAGCAGTCACTGTAACGGGTCCATGCCTGAATAGGAAGCGGGTGATGCATGAGCTCTCAAAAGACCACGAAATATTAAGCTCCTTGAATTTATCAAACAAATTCACCCCAGTGCCCATCTATTACATTGGCATCCTCAGCGCCAGCCCACGTGTCAGTGCTTTCAGACCCTCATGTTAGCTTTCTCCACACTGTGTTACAAACGTGTGGCAAAGGGATGCAGTGCCTTGAGCACCGACTGCCAAGTGGGGTGGCTTGGTCTGCTGTGGCGGATGGATGGAGTTACTGCCTCCAAACAAACACCTGCCCAGTTCTGCTGCACAGACACCTCACCTGCCCATCAGTCAGCTCCTCAGTTGTGCAGTTTGCAGCGTAACACTTTAGGATAAATTTACCAATGTCAGCTTGCTCTAGTGTGCTGTGCATTATGAGGCTGCAGTTCAAGAATTACTGGCGAGAAGTTCAGACATCTTTGCAGCAGGGCTGAGATAAGCAATGACAAGTGATAATTTTGGCACGCACTGGTCAGGCAGACCCTGTATGACCTCAGCTGGGTAATCTCTTATTTGCATACATAGTCACTGGAAACTAGAAAATTTTCTAAAAATACCACCTCCAGAGGTAGAGTCACATATAACCACTACGTCCTTGTGAAGGACTTGGCAGGAAAAAACCAAGAAGTTACGAAGTGTAACCCTGTTATAGGAATGGTGAGAACTTGCTTGTGAATGGAAGACACACTTACACTTGGCCTGAGACTTCAGCATACACACAGTTCCCACGAGGCTTTCACTGAGCTCTGATTTAACAGGGTTGTCTGTAGCTGTGCACCTCTGGTTAATTCACTTGAAGGTCATATTACTGGACTCATCTATTTTAATAAATCTAAATGCTATCTTTAACAAATCTGATGGATTTTCTGGGAAAAAGCGATACTGCTCCCTTTAAGCTATTTTTAGGCATCTGACTTAAGTGGTTTGAATTGCCTCCTTTGTTGATAATATAAAGAATTTATGCTCCTCACTTTGGGTCTCTGGACTAAGTCTAAATTAGATGCTAAGAATAGCCTAAAGTAGACGGTGTGAGTTTTCACCTTCCCACCTTAAAGAAATCACTTCCAGAAATATTCTCTAGCTTTAAACACATGTTGTCATCCCACTTGAAAATACGGCTTCAGGTGAAATTTCTAAGTAGAAGCTAAAACTCCCATAACTTCTCTACTTGCTACACCCATTTGGAAGTACAAGGGCACCTCAGATACGTTCGTATCCTCGATGCGGCTTTCTTCTGGAAATCAGGAAAGTGGCAAACACAATGACAAACAATCCCAGGATACTCAGGCCCACTGCGATGGGAGCTGCTTTGCTGTTTTTATCAAGAAAACATTCTTCTTCTGAAAGAAAAAGATCAGAGAATGTGTTATAGCAGAACACTGTCCTCCTAGACTATACATCTCTATTCCAGAAAAGTTAGCAAATAAAAGACAGAAGTTCTCAAAACCTTGTTTTCTTTTTTTTTTTTTTTTTTTTTCTCCCTTCTTCCTGATCCACACTTACCACATTTTTATCTGTGGTTAACCTTATCTCAGGAAAACAATACTTGCCCCTTTCAAATAGCTACATGCTACACTGGAGAATGACTCTGCTCTTTCTGCAGTAATTGTTTTACCATCAAGATCAGTACATACACAGCAGGATGCTTTATTGCTGATAGCAGATGTGGAGCACCACACTACAAAGTGCAAGTCTGAAAATAAAGAACATGGAGAAAAACTGCTCCTATGTGGCATCTAATTGCTTCTGCCCAGTAAAAAGGATCAGGCCACAGAAGGGAGCCTGTAGTCCAGCACACCATTAGTGCAGCAAGGATCCTAGTTAAATCAGTGCTGCCTAAGAAAAATCAAATTCTAATTGTTCTCTCTATTTAATTCAGAATATTTGTGAATAACTGTGACTAACTCAGAACATCAAGAGATTAGCAAGGCAGAAGCCCTAGACTTAGTCCAGGGGGTTGCTTTGGCAGTACCATTGTAATTTTATTGTACATATGATGATATCGGAAAAGGTTTTGACACAAATAATGTCTTTTAAGAACCATCCAAAGATATATTCACTCCAAATATACCTCTTCGCTACAGAGGGGGCAAATCCTGCCTTCCTCAGCCAGTCTCTACCCAAATGAATATTCAAGTCATCCTCTGATTAAATGGAAACTCATTACTTAAAAATTCACTTCTAGATTGGGGTAAATCGGAAGCTTTCCTGTGGAGAGACTGCACCATCCGGGTCACTGACACAAATAGAATATCTACCCAAGTAACAATGGCAGGATCAGTCTCAAATTCACAATACAAGTGTAGCCCTGGGAGTGACGGCAAGGCCTGGGAATGATCACTAATGTGTTATCCCAGAACTTCATCAGACCTACATCTTCCATCTGATCTATAGGAATGACCTTCCTTGGGTTCCAGGGAAAGAAAGACCTCTAGCATGATGCTTTGAGCAGCACCTGAGTAACAAACTATCCTCTAAGTAGGGTAGCTTGATCAGCTAAACCCCACAGCATATCCCAGCTCAGCAGTGAATCCAGTTTATACCCAGGGTATGAGGGACATCCAACACCCTCCGCCTCTTTCACTCCCTGTGACTGTTGAAGGCACATTTCTACTGCGCTCTAAGAGAAAAGCCTCTGTTGTTATTGTCTAATTGTGATGATTTTGCTGGCACAGATTGTAGCTTAGCTTGGGCTTTTGCCCAATGAGAACCTTTATGCCAACGGCAGGCAGTTAGCCCAGGGAGCATGTGGAGTGCATGGCATCATGTCACAGCTCCAGAGCCTCCACACGGCTTTCCCCAAAATCTGATCCTCTTCTCCTCTGATCCAGATGGTGATTTCATGTGATGCAGTGCCACAAAGTCAAAGGCATCAGCATTCACTGGATGCTGCCTTTTAAAAGCTTTGTCTGGTTAATGAACGTAACCTGCTGTTAAGGAAGTGAGCTGAAAAGTATTTGCATTTGAGGATTGCAAAAGCCAGAGATGTTTGAACTGGCCATTTTGCTTTGATGAAACCTTGGGCTATGAACTCTAGGAATTGTTTCTGATATACTGATGTGCAGTTCAGAAGACACTTTTACAACTTTCCAGCCTCAAAAAGGCCAAGATACTGAAGTAACGCTGCTGCAGTCTGTACAAAATTGCAAGGAACTTGAAACCAATGATCATTAGTGTTTTCTTTTTCTTCCCCTTTTAAAGATAAGCAAATCAGGAGCAACAGAAGTGAAACTGCCAGTCTTGAGGCACCCAAAGGGAGGAGACTGCTGATGTGTATAGAGTCATTCCTTCACTGGGGATTTTGTCTTTCAAAATCTGCATACACAGCAGACGTACGTAACAGTTTCATAACTATTTCATGACCACTGGGGAATTATTTCAGAGGTGGTAGCTGCTTTCTCAGCCCTCTGATTACAAGAAAAAGTCATTTAATTTTTATATGGCATTGATTAGTAGAGAATAGCCTGACCCTGGAGAGAGAGACAGAGAGTGTTTCTAAGCTCTGTCTCTGCTAGAGGTGAGGCCATACCAAAAGCCGTAACTGAACTTACTCATTGTACAAATTTGAATGGAAATGTATGGACCAGGTGGGATCACATGAGTTGTCCCAGCTCAGTGTTATCCCATGAAAAAAATCTTCATGAGAATGAGAGCATAGATTGGATTCTCAGTGTGGCTTTTAAGAACTTAAAGAAAATTATGCAAAAAATAGTCCATGTCTTTAAAAAGCCCCAAATGCTGTTTCCAATTATATTCATTTCAGAATAAGAAAGGCATCCAAAATGGTGAACTAACAAAAGAAGAATCACTCAAACAGAGACAAATGGAGTCAAAAGACAGATATAAAGTAAAAAGAAGAATACAGGGGCAATATTTTGTAAGCACGCAGGAAGTCAAATGTCAGAGGGGAATGCTTTATTAGTGCATCTGAAGGGCTGGAAAGCTCGTAAGCCTATCTGTCCACCAGAGTTCTTGTATGGAAATGCCCTGAGAGGAAGTCTCAGCAACGTGAAGATGCAGAATTTGGAAAAGACCACAGGGTCCCATCTAGTCCATCTCTCTGCTTTTTGTAGGATCTTTCATGCACCTCATAAGAAGTAAGGCAGTAGACCATGAGAGTGTCCACAGTGTGGGACACGAGAGTTTCCTGGTCCACCCAGCAGTCCTGGACCCAGAGCCTGGCCAGGTCCTGGCTACATTGCTGGACAAGAAGCAAGGATGACAACAGCTCATTTTGCTGTTGAAGGAACCCTGGATGAGGGTGTAGGGAAGAAGCTGTGATGAGCCCAAATATGTTCTCCCTATGTGGGCAGTCCAGAGACCTGGGGAGTCACATTGCAAAGATGAACATCACATTCAATTCTGAAGGTAGGAGCATGCCCACTGTGCTCCTCCTCAGGAGTAAGTTTCATCATATCTAGACACAGCTGCTGTGAAAGTATCATCCTGCATTCACAAATACCCCCTATTAGTTGGCAGTTTTGCTGCTGCGGCTGTGGGACATCATGAGTGTCAAGCACCTTTCAAAATAGCTAAAATCTGACTATATTGAGAACAGTGACCTTGAACTGAACTGTACATATTAAGGGTTTGGGCAATGCAATGGTGGTGAACACACCTCCACTTGCTCTGAGAGAAAATGGGTGAAGAATCAAATTGTGGCTGTAGACCGGAACATTTTTAATGAGAAGGTAAAACAGAAAGTAGTGAATGCAGGAGGGCAGGATACTTTTCCATCTTCCATAGATATTAGCGCTGTGTTGAAAATGGCTCAGAAAAGGGTGAGAATACAGCAGTGGGCAGGTTATATTATTAGCAAACTATTACAAAGCTGTGATTGTGCTGCAGGTGTAAGAGGATGACTGCATGTGTATGGTTATAATCTAGCAGACTATATCAGACTACCAGAGTGCTGACATGTAGAATTCGGAAGGGTGGAAAAGGTATTCTTCTACTTACCTTTTCCAAACTGGTTACCAACAATATCAAATGCCTGCAGCTGCATATTAACCAAGAGTAGCTGGAAGTTCTTCTCCAAGCCAAAGGTTTGCTTGCTGGCACACTTAAAGGAATTCCCCAGCTTTGTTGTAAACAGCTTCTCATGTATGGCTGCATAGTAAAACATGCCTGGAGGCCACAAAGAGAAAGACAAATGAGAATCCACACTAACACTGTTGGAACCAACATCCTTCTGAGATAAAACAGAGGATCCCTGGTACTTTGGCAGAGCAGCAGCCACAGATGTGACTAACGCATGGACATTTTCCTCATAATAATGTATCAATTACATTTCTTCCATGTTTAAATGAATGCTTTAATTATCAGTGGGCAACTCAGCTGAGCTTGGGTCTGGAAAAGTGGCTAAAATTTCAGATGCTTCTTCAGATCATATTTTAACAACCTGAGTCTGCAGAAGGGGGTTAGGACTCTCACAGGAGCAGACAACTATCTTAGGTCTCCAGTGTGACTATTTCCAGACAAAATGGAGGTATCATCTCTAGCATGGGCATTTGACATATCTAGTCTCTACTGCTTTATGTATCAAATCGGTTTCTAAACATATTTCAGTGTCACAGCACTTCACAGAAAACATGGCTCAAGTTCAAAGCATGGAAGGATCTTGTAACCTGGGCATATCCTTTACGCATATCCTCCTCTGAAAGCAGATATATCAGTTTAAGACAAAATCAACCATATAACCAACTGCATCACTGTATCTCAACCTTATCTGCCATCATGATAGTGAACAGCATACTCCGGGTCCTCTCCAGTCAAAATCAGTGCACCAGTGTGTACTGATACAGTTAATTCAGTATTTTTTATCTTAGAGAAGATACAGGCTTGCTCACTGTAAAAATACTGCTAGTGGACTGCAAACAGGCAACATCTAGCAGAGGACAGTAACAAACAGGCAGGAATAACCATGTCTTTTGCCAGCACCACTGTGGAGGACTCAAAGTATATTTGAGGATTTTAAAGTTTATGATTAAGCGGCTTAGTTTGTATTTGCTGCAGTTTACACTTAGCAATGCACAGGAAAACTCTGGTCATTTAGACTGAGAACATCCCTAGGAGACATGTCCTATGGATCAGCTTTTCTTTTACTTTAATAGGCTCCACTTGAGTTAATAAAAGTACTCATCAGTGAGAAGAAAAATAGGCACTGAGCTTTCAAAAATCTCAGTGCTGTTAGCACACACCTGGTCAAGCTCCTGATTTGTTTTTATTCTTTCAGGGACAAGACTCAATTCAAATGCTTATGAGTAACAAACAGAGAGGTGACACAGTTAACCTGTCACACCTCTGATATATCGGGAAGAATTTGTGCAAAATTAATGCCAGAGAAAATTTGAAGTGACGGCTCAGAATTTTTCTCTCTGATCTAAATGATGTTCTCTTAGCATTTCTTGGGATGTAGCATCTGGGGCAGCTCCTGACTGTTCAAGTGGCGAGAAGCAGGGCTATATAAGAAAAAGAAAACCCGATCACCTGAGCAGAGCACAGACAAGGCCTAGGATTCAGGATGGTTTGAAGAACTTCAGCCTGTGTCCAGTTCTTATTTTTGCCAAACCCAAATGTCAGACATGCTTCCTCTCCATATTGGTGTATTTGAAATCTGGATCCAGCTCTGCATTTCTGTGATCCAGATACCATATTCGCTTATTAGATTGGAAAGACACAGGCAACTGAACTGGAGTCACAGCATTTTTGTGTATTTGCAGGGAAGAACTTTGAGGACTGTTTTGTATCTTAAATTTAGGTTTGAAGTAATCTCTATTCTGAAAGAGGTGGGGCAGGGAAAATTTTTGAGGACAAAAGGAAAATTGAACACTTCTGATGAAACTGCAGTGTTGTCCCTTCTCTTCCATTTTCATACCATAAGATTTAGGTGAATGACATGTTGAAAGCCTGATAAAACACATAATTTGCAAAAAACAGTGTTTTAAAGATATGATAGCCTATCCCACACCCCAAGAAGTTTGATATGAAACTGAGACAATGTCAAATCACTGACCTTCAGAAGATAACTGTAATCTGGCCTCAATTTTGCTGACATAGTATGTTGGAGCTTGCTGCAAAAGAAATTATATCTTTATTCATAATGCATCCTCTTATTTGTGGAAAAAAAAAAAAAATACAGTTCAGCAGAGCAAAATGGTCACAAAGAATTTCCCGAAGAAATACATTTTAAGGCATCACCTTCAAGACCCAAGAACCAAATTGCTTGGATATATTGCTTTTTCTTTTTCTGATCACTCCATCTAATAGATAAGAAGCTGGTGACGTGCAGCAATCTCAGGTACATCACGAAATCTGCTCAGCTCAGTGAAACTAGACCATGCAGGCATCATTTTACACACACTGCTCAAGCCAGACGTGAGTGATACTTGTGGTAACCAAAAGTAGGAGGCAGTTAGGCAAACAGTATACATTGCACAAATTAACAGACATGTGATAAGGCCACTTTATTGTTACTTACCCTTTCAGTTTTCACTGAGAGTCCCTACCATGCTCTCCTGCACTGAACTAATCCATGCTGGCCTGCAGTCTGACTGCTTGCAGGACCTAAACCCACACCTTTAGAAGTATTCGTGACCCCTGGCACTGCAGTGCACTTTGCCCTTCGTGTGAGCAAGCTGCAGAAAGCAGCAGTGCTTCTGTGTTCTTCTCTGTTTTGAACTGGGAGAGGTCAGCAGCAAACTGACCTGGGAGCTCCTCTCATGCTAGTACCACTCATTTCCTATTTTGTCTGCCAACAGCAGTCACTACAAATGAAGAAACAGCAACCTGGATGTGTAGGGGAGAAATAACTGTTCTTTCCACCCTGCCGAGACTGTTGATTCTGGCTGTCTTTTTTTTCATATGCCTACAGACTGGAAAGCACCTGGTACAACAGCACAGAGAAGAATCTCCAGGTAAGTGTCCTGCTGCATGTGCCCTAAAACCGTCGTGCAACCTGAACGCTGTCCTCCCCTGGACTGTCACAAAGTGAGAGCCGGCCCTAGGAGCATTTCCCTGGTAGCAGTGTTGGAGTATAATGTGAGTATTTATGAGAGGAGGTTCTCAGCATTATTCCCACTTAAAGACATAAATAGGTCAAATATTACCATTTTTTTGGCAGCAGTGCTATGTTCTGTTTGGCCATAGTTAGTAACTTTGCTTGGGGAAAACACCTACCCCTACTTCACATTTTTGGGGTTGGTTACAAAACTTCCTTTTTTCAAGTTCTTTGCAGAAGGCCCCTGGCCGTGGTGATGCTGAACCAGCCACTCACCTCCTGCTACCCTGCACCAGCACCACAGCCCTGGGGCCCAATCCAGCTCCTCTTTCACCCATGAAAATCCACTCCTGGTTCAAAGCACTTAGAGAGGGTGTGGGGGCCAAACACATAAAAACCAGCAGCAAAATGATTTCTTATTAACTTGCATTTCAAAGAAGCCTAAGCCGAGCCCTGCTATGCTCTTGAGGCTTATCTTTAAGTGAAGGGCAGATTGTCTAATGCTGTGCCAATAACTACCTTTTTCAGGGCCAGATAGGTCAAGTACCTCCTCAAGGCCCACATCACTCTCCTTAGCGCTGATACAAGCTGGGGCTTTCATGGGTACTTGAATCACCAGACTTTTTCTAAGGATCCTTGTAACACAGAAAATGGTCCCCTTGTTTCAGGAAGCATGCATTTAAAGCAAACACTCACAGTCTGAACTGATCCTTTGTTTTAAAACACCTCCTTGATTTTTTACCTTACTTTGTAGCTTTTAGAAAATTTTCTGCCATAAACTAAAATCAAGATGATTATTCATGGAAATATTTTCTCTGCTCAAGCATTAATAAATCAGGTGTGCTATTATTGGCTGTTGCCTCTTGGACTTTCTGTGGAAATGACTGATTAGCCATTTGTACTTTTCTTAACTGTCACTAATTTGAGCTTGGAACCAGGCTGTAAGACTGACATTTTCTCTTGATTAATTGAAGGCTACAGACGAGCACTGATGGCCAGATGCAGCTCTGAACTGCTGTGGAGCTCGAGCACATATCTCAGTGCACATTACACTCAGTCTGAGTTTGAGGGGATCCAACCTGTGCCATATTCCTCTCTGGCCATTAATGACTTTATACACGGTATTAACTCTGTCTTTAGCCCTGCTGGCATCACCACCCAGCCCTTATTAACTTTCAGAGAACTAGTACTGTGTGCCGCTTCCCAAAACTTGTCAACCATGTAAATGTCTGAGGAAGCAAGAGGATAGCTGCACTCTGCATTTTTCTCCTGTGGTTGTAATAGCAGTAACACTCTTGGTAGTTTATGTTAAAGTCTCATCCACAGACAGTGCAGTCCCAGTGGGGACCATGGTATCAATAGATACCACGTCAAAAAGAAAGCTCATTTTCCCACCACTAAGCAGGGCCTCCCTCTTGCCCAAATTTCTGTGTGTACTTGTAATTCTCCATGGTGTGGTGCATTTTAAGGGTACTTACCTACAATTTTGTTGTTGTTGTTCACTTGTTTGCAATTTTCCACTCAGATGAAATTAGGACCCTTCAGCTTTGGTAGACTGTGGCTCCTGGGCACTTACAGCTGCACAGGTTGCCCTTGGGGTTTGACAACCATAGCTGGCTTTGCCTGGGCAGCTGTGATACTTGGCATTTATGGGAAGCAAATGACTAACCTCATCTGCATTCAGGTGGTCCCTGAGACACCATTTCATAAGAGCAACTTGACAGTGTGAGTCAGAGCTCTGGCACACACACCAAGGACTGCACAGGGACTCCCGTCCCAAACCCACTCCCTCTGTCCCAGCTCCAATGCAAACAGCAGACTCGGCCTTCCCTCCCACTAGAATTTTACCTATGTAAAAATGAGACTCAGATTTTGCTTGAGGCTATTTCTAGAGTTTGTGTGGCTAGATGTGTAGCTTTAGCACTGTTCTCTAGCACTTTCTATCACAGGATGGCAAGGCACTGTACTTACCCTTCATTGCATATATGAACCTTTCCAAATTGAAAGTTCAAACAGACAAGACCTGATTTAACGTTGAAGTTAGCCCTGCTCTGAGCAGGGGTTTGGATCAGGTGGCCTCCAAAGGTCTTTTCCAACCTGAATTAATCAATGGTTCTATAATTCTAGCCTCTTGGGAAGGATGGGATTAATTGTGCCTTGTATACAGATGGAAAACTAGCATAGAGATGGATGAAGTACCTTTTCCCACAGCACAAGCTGAATCAAAGGCAGCCTAAGTTCCAGCTCTGCAATCCTAAACACTCCTTCCCTCTAAATGCAATAATTACCTTTGCAAAGATGAAGTTTATAAATCCTCCACTGAAAGATATGTTCAGCTCAGACTGCACCGTGCCACAGCTTCCAGACGTCTGTGTCGCATTGGGGTTGACAGCCATGTACTCTATCTGCTTCTAGGGAGAGAAGAGACATTGCAAGGCTGCTGAAGATGAGGGGGGAACTTGATAAGAAACACACAGAGATTTAGAGCTGCTTTTTTTTTTTTTTTTGCCCGCCAGACAGGCTCTGTGTGGCTGAATGAACAGGTCAGTGGTGGTAGCAGCCTAATTGCTGTCTGCTGGGGTCATTCCCCACTCATAAACCAACACTAGTTCTTATCTGACACATCCCTGAGCTGTTACAGTGCATTAAGCTGGCAGAAAATAATAGTTTTCTGCCCATTCTGTGAACTGATATGATTCAGAGCAGTGTCATATGAGCACCAGAGGTAATTTAAAAAACAGAAAGCAGTGGGAACTTGCGCCTGAAGGCGGAGGAAAGATCAAGACAGATGCAGGCAGGGGTCAGATCAGCTTCAACGTATGTTGCCACTCGTATCACCCTGGCCTCCTCATGTCCTGCACAGTTCATCTCTAGCATCTGCCAAGCCATGTAGTCTGAAAGGAGAGCTCTGCAGCCCCAAATACAGTTTGGCTCCTTCAATCTCATCTCAAACACACCTTATCTTTGTAATAAACATCTCACTGTGGTCTGGTGAGGTTGAGAATCATGCTCCCTGCCAGGCTTCTGCCAGGACGAGGGATGAAAATTACTTTTACCAACATTAGATACTCATCCCATGTTATTAATATTCAGACCTCAAACAAGAATATTTGGATTTGTAATGGGGATGGCTTGAGGCATATGAATTCCAGAGCGTGAAGATGTAACCCCACATATTGTATTAATGTAGGCTACTAAACCGTAAGTCTGAGGGACATAATCACCATTTTGGGTTTTATGACATCTTTTGCTGAATCATTAACAGTGGATCACTGCTAGGAGAGGTACCAGCTCCCCAGGACCCTTGCTCTGATCCAGCCTGGCAGTTCCCATGACTCTGAAATCTCCATGCGTCAGCATCAAGACAACCCACGTCTGAATCCAAGTCTGTGAACTGACAATTTATTGCCTTCATTGCAACTCGTCCTATCAAGCCCTTCACTGAAGTCAGTTCTGATTTTAACTAGTCTCCCATTCTGAGAAACACAAATAACGCTGAAGGCTGATCTACCCTCCCACCCCCCCGTATTGCTACCACACATACATCACTGAAATAAGAAAGCACCTGTACGTCCCACTGACATCATACAAGCCAAAGTACAGCAGTGGAGATGCTGTGGCACAGGAAACGCCTTACACTGGTAGCAAACCACTTGTTTTTATCATACAAGCTAACTTCTGAAAATTGCTTTGAAAGAGTAGAATAAATTCCAGCTAATGAAGAAACAGTCATTACAAAGCTCAGCCTGGTAGTGCTTCCATCTCACCGTCTGTGTATGTTGAGCCATCAGCTGCAAACCCATGACTGCCTTGATGCAGGTCTTGTTCCCACTGCAAACGGTGTATGTGCCAGTGGGGATGGGAGGGGGCTGCGGTGCAAGAGTGGGTCTCACTGTCATTGTAGTAGATGAGATGGTTGTTTGAGTCCCTGGATGAACGGTTGTTCTGTTGGTCACGGCTGTGGCTGTTGGACTTTGAGGTGCCGTTGTTTGATTTCCTGACCCTGTGGTGGGCTTTACAGTTTGTGTGGTGGTTGTTGTAGTGCTTATGGCAGCAGCTGTCATTTGTGTATTTGGCGTTTGTGTATATGGTGTTTGGCTTGTGTATATGGTTGTGTTTGTGATTGCCGCTGTCGTTTCTGTGCTCACATGAGTTCTGGCTTGCTTGGTTGAGGACACAGCGGGCGTAGTTGTGTTCTTCACTGCAGGTGTAATTGTTTCCATTGCCTGGGTTGTTGTATGACCAACTGCAGTTGTGTTGTCTGCTGATGTTGTGGATACCACCAGGGGAGATTTCTGGCTGGTCACTTGCATGGTGGTTGCTCCTGACTGGGCTGTTGTGTGATGGCCTGGTGCTGTTGTTACCTGCTGCTGATCTGTTGTCTGGACAGTTGTTCTATGGCTTATGGGTGTTGTTTTAAGAGAGCCTGTGCTGTTAAAATTAACTGTGCTGCCTTGATGGGGTGAAGAATGATAAAGGGAAAGTGGCTGAGCGGAATTAGCCGTATGGTGGAAGGATATGGTTTCTGGAGACAGTTCAACCCCTGGGGTGACTTCAGCAAAGCAGGAGGAAAATGCTGCAAAGAAACAAATAAGTCAGTAGTTTAGAAACCTTTATGTTTAACATTTCTTTGATACCCACAATACAACTGCACTGATTTTGTTATCAAATTGGTGATATGATTTTATTCTGCATTTGACTCCAGCCATGATAGGAGAGGGAAGTCAGACATGCTGTAGGACTATCTGTAACTTTTCATCACTCCCCTAGTCTTCACACCTCTGAATATACCCACAGCAGTGGAAGCACCTTGGCTCCCAGCTCCCCACATGCTGCTTTTGCTGCTGAAGAAGCCAGGGGATGACGGAGGTGTGAGCAGACCTTGCACAATCCCCAGGCAGCACAAGAATTCCCTTGCAGGCAGTAATACAACAAGATTTGTTAGAAGCAAATTATCAAGGTCTAAGGAAGATGAAATGTAACAGGCAAACGGCTGATTGTTTACTTACCAACAAAGCGTGGGGAAAGGGAACATTTTTTGTGTATGAAGGAAATGAGGCAGCATAATGGTCTTATAGTGATCCACAATAGTCTGGGAAACCAGTCTGGGAGACAGGGAAATTCCAGATATTTATTTATGGTTTTGTTGAAGCTGTGCCAGCTTGCACCCTGAAGTTCTTCCTCCTGGGAGGTACCCAAGGGGATGCTCCAATGAAGGAAAGACCAGCCCTCTTAGTGATGGGCTTTCAGCAATGAGAAACAAGTTTCAGGGTACAGCATCTAGGGGCATTTTGGACCACATCTGAATACAGTCACAGCACCAAAATTACTCATCCATCTGGTAACATTTACAGAAACATGTCGTAGAACTGGAAAGAAAATATCTGGTTCCTTGTCCTGGGTTTGAGTGAGTGGTAGGGTTTTGGGTAGCTCCTTCTCAGTCCTGGGGGACGAGTGGGGAGTGAGCGGTTCTGTGGTGCTCAGGTGACCTCTGAGCTTAAACCACGACATTCCTAAATGTAAATAACAAAGTGAAGAAAAAGTGGGAAAAGTACATTGTCGAATAGGTGAAGGTCACAACCCTTCTGCTTGAGTCTTTGATTGTGAATATGCAACAAGACTATAAATTACATAAAGGTCAAGCTAAAAGAAATCATAAATCACTGACATATATGAATTTCTTGATGTGCGTGAAGCTTCAGGTGGAGTTAAATGCTTTACTACCTAAATTAGCTGGAGGACAGAGATGAATTCTCCAGTTTGAAGACAGAAAGGACCCAAAAGTCCAAGGCAGCTCATATTCCTAACAGTACAGCTCCACAGAGGATGCCAGAACAGATTGAGAAGTTTGTTGTATGCTGTTTTTTCCAAAGAAATTTCTCATGAACCACTGTCAAAGGTTTGTGGTAGGCAGGTTGCTGAGATTCAGGTTTTAGGATCAATTAAGGCCCCAGCCACATTCAGAGTGGAAATGGCTGAAATCTCACTAGTCCTTCTTCCTTTTATTAATTTATTTTCACTCAGCGTGAACAGAGATCTGCAACAATAGCTGAATTCATAAAATCTCACCATTTTAGGATATATATAAACCAAGACTAATAAACCTACTGAGTTTTGAATAAAATTCAAGATCAAAGCCAAAGAAATTAGAACAGATGTATAGATCTGAAACCACACTGCAATTTTCCCTTAAAAATGGCTATGCTAGAGAAGAGCAGAAGTGTAGATGTATACTTCCTAAAATTGCCTGGGTTTCACCTCTGTGCTGTACAGAATATATTTGACTGCCAGTGTAGCTGTTATCATCAAAGTCCAACTTGATACAGTTGAAAAGCCACAAAAATGACAGGACAGATCCCCCTGATTGTGAATTTTATCAGAAGGAACCTAAAAATGCCACAATTAATATCATACTTCATTTTCTCACTTGCCCCTAGACTTTACCACACCTCCTGGCAGAGCTGAAAAGCAGATAAGCTATCTCCAATGTGTGCCAGTTGAAAATCAGAGCAGTTGCCATATACCAGCCGCAGGCAGTTGCATCTAATTGTATTGGCACAATATAAACAAAAAAGAGAAGTTGCCATTTTCATTCTCTTTTCCCCTGTAAGACTGCAAAACAACCCACATTTAAATTTACACAAGTCTTAAATAGTCAGTACTTCTTAGTTTTTAGTTAACAGATTGGTTTCGATTACTGACCAAATAACTCACCTTCCAGCTGTGGGGAGAAACATCATCTCACTGACATAGCTCTTCATGACATGACATTTCACCCATAACTTTTAAATGAAACTTCATTTTCCCCAAAAGGTCATTTCAACCTATTTTTCATTAGAGAAATGTTCATCCTGACAGGGTCACTGAGGGGTAAAGTAAGAAATGTCTTTGGGCTGGCCCATGGCTCGTGCTCACTAGGTGACCTGCCAGACTGCTCCTCCAGCCCTCCACAGCTCTCCCAAGCATTTTGGAGCTTCTGCCGGGGCGCAGCCACGCTGCTAAACCTGTTGGCTTGGCTTGGCTTCTCAAAAGGCATTTGCCCCCATGAGCTGCCGGGGATGGGTAAGGATTGCTCTCTGGTTGCACCTAATGGTCTTGTCTCTTCTTGGGTGGCTGTTGGAGGTATCTCTGCAGCTCTACTGTGCGACGGGGACAGTGGGCCCACGGGCTGCCTGACCTACCCTCCAAGAAAGTCCTGGAAGGCTTCCCCGTGGCTCCCTCAGCGTGGCAGCACTGCCGCCCGGGGAGCCCGGCCCAGCTCGGCAAAGGAGCTGCCTGCACGGCTCCCACCACCACAGCCCTCTTCACAGCTCTGCCGGAAAAGGTGGCCACAGAACAACAAAGAATTGCAGCTCTGCATGCCCCTATTAGTCTCCTTTTCTTTTTTTTTTTTCTTTTTTTTTTTTTTTTTTTCCTGTGCAGCCAGCTCAAAACTTCACACGACCAACATTTTGCTCAAGGGATGCATGCTCCCTGTGGTTTATCTTCCTGGGGTAAGCAGCTGCAATCCCATCGTCTCACCTCGGCTTCAAAGTTGTGCATTACAAACAGCAAGGGCTGCGTTTTTGCCCAGCAAACCTCCATGCACACAACCCTCCAGAACAAAACTCTCAGAAAAGGATTAGACCAGCTCTCAGAAATTCACTGTTCCCAGTCTGGGCCTGGACCCCCCTGTTTTCATGCTTTGGTGACAAGTTTCAGTCAATGCCAGCAAAGGAACGTCACCGCTCTGCTCCCAGGCATTACAGTGGGAAGTGGAGCACTCAGTGCCATGATCCAGCTGTGACATTCCTCAGCCTGCCATCCTGCAATGCGGTGGATGAAAAAAACTCTGGCTGAGGATTTTTTCCCCTTCTTGTCTAACCACACACTCATGCTGCTCAGCCGCCCAGCAGGTTTGTTCCGCTTTATGCTGCCCAGAAGAAATGCTTGTGTTTAGCTGACTGATTTGTGTAGACACAAAAACCCGACCCAGATCCTACAGTCACTGGAAACACTCTCAACGGCCCACTCCCACTGGATTGGTTTGAGACCTCGAGGAACTGGAAAAGCACCACGATTTTCTGAGAGGTTTCGGTATTGTTATAGTTTCCACCCAACATAGGAGCGGTTTCTTAAACCTCCAACCCATCAGACCTTTAGCCCTTAAACTCTATGTTTAATCCCTATCTGCACAGAAAGATTTGACGTTGTGGCATTAATAAAACATCACAACAAATTATTAAAGGAATCATCAAAAATGGATAAGGAGCTGAGAAGACAAGTTCTTTCTGGTCAAAAAGATCCTTGCTGACCATTGAGTTATTAGTGTTACTTCTCTCAGTCTGATCTTGTTCTCCTTTTGTGTATACTTTTTGGGGCTACTTCAGCAGCCTCTGGCTGTGAAGCAGGTGTGGGAAAGCAGAGCAGATACAGCGAGAGCTGCTTGTGGTCGAGTCCTTGCTCACCATGCTGGGTCCTTGCTCACCGTGCTGGGAGGGGGACAGGGGTTGTTACTTGCGTGATCCCTGGGCACCGATGGCAAAACACACTGCAGAAATCCAGCACCCTACCAGCGAGATCAAACCTTTAGCCAATACACAGATTAAATCATGCTCTGTCCTTCTTCACCTGGCAGATTTTGCACTGCTGTGGGTGTTGAGTGATGATTTAACATGCTGGGACACGTCCTTGACCAGGCTGGCTCCACAGATTTTCACAGCACAGCATTAAGGATTGAACAGTGGCTTCCATGTGGTTTGTTGTTGAGATAAGCCCCAGCCTGCCTTCTGCAAGCCCCCTGCCTCGATCTTGCTTTCCTGATCATGCTCTGCACCTTGCAATGCAGACGACTTGAGCAATGCTTCCTTAGTTTTTCTTTTGCTTGCCTCACTCGAGACTTTCAGTCAGTTCTGCTGGTTTGGAGACTATTTTTAATTAAGAAAGGCAAGTCCAAAAAAATCTGCTTCTAATACTATTTTGAGCTGATTCCATCACACAGTAAGAGTTCATGTCACCACAGGGTGCAAGGGAAAATACACAGGAAAATACCAGACTAAGTCTATACCAGCTGCAATTAAATGAAGTTACAGATATTTCTTAGCAGTGGGACTTTACTAAAAGCACCCTTAGTTCTAGCAACAAAACTGTTTAAAGTTTTCAGTCTGTCTGGTGCTGTCCTGACTGCAAGGAAACAAAACTAGCATAGTCTATCTCATTTTTCTGATAGGAACGATGGAGGATGTTACTCACCACAGGTGAAGGTCAGCAAGATGAACTGCCGTGCGCTTCTCCCCATGGCCAGCACAGCTGCAGGTTTGAGAGATGCTGCTTCTCAGTGTGGAGCGGGTGGAAAGGAAATCAAGGTTTCCTGGAGACTGAAAAGTTTTAGTTGATGCAGGGAGTGCTCAGTCACATGGCTGGAAAGGAGGTGGAGAGAGAGGGGGAGACCGATGCGTCTGGTCTGTACACTACTGCAGAAGGAAATAAATGATGGTTAGGAAAGAAAGTAAAACAGAAAGGGCTGCTGAGCTAACTGGGGGGAGAACGGGCTCTCACTCTGCAGCTGAGACCTGGGGCTCAGCAAGGCCACGTAAAGCTTCATGTATCTCTCCCCAATTTTGATAACCTGGTGCAGACTACAGCTGTACCCCAATGCAGGGCTATAACTTGTAAATCAGTATTTTCCCTGTGTTCTTTAAAAAAGTTATTTCTTTAGGGCCAAACTCTTTTTTATGTTAAGGCACAGAAGGGAGAGGTGTCATCTTGAGCCATTTCTGCAGAGCTCCTGCTAAAAGCAAGACAGAGCTGAGCAAAGCTCCAGACGGGCTGTGGTCCCAGTTCCTGGTCCCTTTGCTGGCTGGTTCAGTCCTGCTCCAAGGACTGAGCTTGTTGACGGTGGATGAGCCGCGGCGGCTCACCATTACTGTTGCATCCAAACACACTCCTCGGCAAATAGCAACGCCCCACCTATGGCCCGTGAAGTGCCTCCTGCAAACCACGCCAAGCTGGGACAGGAGCTGCACAGGCAGGTCCCAACACGCGTAGCTGCACGCCAGGGAGCTGCAACAGGAGAGCGTCACGCCTGCTCACGTGTGCAGCTGGATTTCCAGCCCTGGGCCTTTGCCACGGGGCCTGCTTGGGCTGGGGGAGCAAAGGGACCTGCTCTGGTCCTAATTCTTCCTTTTCTCATACTGATATTGCACTGCAGTAACATGACAAGGCTGATGACCCGAAAACACAAGTGAGGTGACATTTGACCCCAGAAATCTGGATACCGGCTAAAATTAGTTCCAATTTATTTTGCTCTTTCTATTTGCATTGTGTCTCTGCATTCTCATTTTTACCTGCTTGCCCATCCAGAAAATGCAATTAGTGCTCCCTAATAAACCACTGGTAGCCAAAGGTATGCAGGTATCTTGGGGGTAGCTATAATACAGTTATCCCACAATTTCCTTGCCGTATGGCTGCAGCATTAGCATACACAGCGCTGAACTGTCCGTGTGAATCTTTGCACTCTCCTAAGAGTTCCAGGGATTCAGCAACATGACTAAGGGAGATAGGTAAAGGAAAAAAACCCACTTTGTTCTTCTTGTGACACATGTGTTGGACAAATGAAGTTATATTGGACAGATATGTGGATCTTTTTTCAGCTGTGCTGATGTGCCTTTACTGATACTCATTTATTTTGAATAGAAAGAAAGCTCATTTGACTTGTTACTTCATATAGAGACATCAACCACAATATTTTGTAATAGTTATAATTTTTATAAATTTCAAACAAAGTGTGGTTCTACACACGTCAGAATGGCCTAATTACAGAAAGTTCATTTGCACACTTTTTTCTTGTAATAAATTCATACATTCTGTTTTGACTGGAAAAAAAGGACAGGTAATTCTGTGCTCTTTCCCTGTCTGATTATCTCTCATCAGTCACAATATACAAATACATCATTATCAACACCATGGAAAATATGTAAGAAAAACAAACTGTACCAATTCCCAGCTGGGGAGAGGAAATCTTAGCAGCTGTTTCAGCTTCAGCTGCAAGAAGAAATACACAACTTGGCTCTTTTTTCTTATTATTCTTATATATTTCTAATCATACATATATTTGAAGTCAGACTTTGAGTATTTTTGGAAAAGAAGCTTATGGCCTTTCACATACACAATCCTGTTTGAAATCTCAGTCTAAGAAAATGACAGATAATAAAATGGCCTTTTATCACATACACAACCAGAATATAAGCCACACGCACAGATTTGCTGTCACTGGCAAGAAAAGCCAGTGTTCAGACACGGTTTGGCCGCAGCCATTTATGATCAAGACAACCACCACTGGTCTGTTCTCCACCTGGTGGGGGTCAGACTGTGGGAGGAGGGGAGCAGGCCTGATGACATTTTAGCCTGGTTTACTAAAAGCAAGACTCGCGTATGATGACAACTGCCCGTCTATCTGTTTGTCATTACCGCCAGTAAGGAAGGAGCCTGTTGCCCAACTACACCCGACTGAGCAGAGGGCAGAGTTTTGAGGATGTGAAGTTTCTGCAGGTTTCACAGAAGATGGCAGCAGAGCAGAGGGAGGAGATCCAAGTCAAAACCTCAGCCTGAGGGCAGGTCTCACTAGTCTGGACCCAGAGGGAGCAGCCAGGCAGCTGGCGTGGACCTGGGGCTCAAGTAGCAAGGGCATAATGCTCAACCACGAATGCTGCTACAGCATGGATTCACCTTGGACCTCGTCCCTTCTACAACTGAAACTTAGTGGCAACCATTACTTTCAAATTACTTTCTGGTCACTATATCATCTCCAGACAACACTGAAATTAAATTGATACTTGAAAACTATGATTTTTAGGTCCATCTACCTGAAGATGATGGTGTCAATGACATACATACAGAATAACTATACCTTAATGTACATATTAGTCTTGCTGGACATTGCCAAATCATACTCTAGACTGTACATGGAGTGTCATTCCCTTAATTATCACCTTGCTTGACAGAAATACACTAATTAAAAGACTATCCTGTCTAGCATTAATAAAAAAAAAAAAAAAAAAAAGTTCATCAAACCCCAGTTTGTCTTGTCAGCAAAGCCAGAAGGTTACTTCATGTTGGCTGCTCTCAGACTTGTCAGCAGTTTGATCTGTCACTGAACTTCATCCTTTAAAAAAGCAAAGGCAGTCGTGTGGCTCTGTCTCGCTGACATTTGCGCTGCAGGCGCCAGCCAGGCAAAGGGCCCCAGTTACCCCCAGCAGCAGCTGCGGGGGTTGCAGAACGGCCTGAGGTTGGAACATGGAGTCAGAAACAGGCAACTGCCTTTGGCTTGGCAGCACTGCAGGAAGGTCAAAGAGACAATTAATGACCATGGGCTCCCTGCTCAGGTTCAGTAGCATCTGTGATACAATCACTCCCAAAGACCACTGAGACCAGAGCGCTGTGCCACAGTTGCACACAGCCTCAGGGCAGTGAGTTACTTGTCATCCTCAGGACGTTTACGGTGCAGGAGTGACTCAAATTTTGGTTCAACAGGATAAAACATTAGATTTTGGACAAAAAAAAAAAAAAAAAAGAAAAAAAGAAATTGTTTTCAAAAGCAATGTAGGGAGGAGAATTGTTACAATCCAATCCATACCTTTGTAGTTGTCATGACGAGATAGTGAGTTGGGAGAGAGGAGACACCTGTGCAGCAATTCTCTTCCCTGCTCCGGCTCTAGACTGCCCCGCAGGACATCACCACTGACACTCAGGGAGGGCATAGCCGCACACAGGGGGTTGAATGCTTTGCTCTCTGCTGGAGGATCCCTGATTTTTGCATACATGCTAAAATTTATCATCAGAATTTGACACGTGGGAAATCCAATAGCTCCCGTTTTACAGGAAGACATCGAGGCACCAATGGTACAGGATAAGCACACTGTCACCCTGCACACAGCAGAAGTAGGAAATGGACTGACAATACCTGATTTTCCATCTTCAGTTCAAACAGAGGCTTCTTGCTGTCCTTTCACTGTTAGAATGAGATTCCTCCAAAGAAACTCCAAAGTGCAGGTTTGCATGTTTCCATCTGTCAACAGCGTCACAAATCCTCGTTTTGGTAGTTTCATATACCCAGGATATTCCATCCACATTTCTCTCTCTCTCACACACACACACACATAAAATCTTACTATATTTATTCATGTGCAATCAAAGTTCCCTACCCCTTTCCTCTCCTATGCTTAGGGCAGGGGTAGACAGAAGCACTGTCATCAGGCTGTACAATTACTGAAAGTAATACAGAAACCAAAATTAATTAATTTTAGGGAGAGGATAAAATAAGTGCACTAAAGGAAAACATCACTGCATATTTCCTTAAGGGACTGAAAGGAATAAATTCTTCCCTCAAGATGCTCATAACTACAGTAGACTAACAGAATTCACATTCCTGATAGCCTATGTGTCATTTTTAAGATAAATGATCAGCACAAAACAGAAAAGCTCTTATCTCCGTAGGACAAAATTAGATTCCAGAAAGGTACAGAACTCTCAGGTCCTTTAGTCATGAACAGAAAATGTCAGAAATAACAGAGCTTAGATATTGAGGGTCAGAAGAACCATGGGAATTAACCACCACAGCACAGCTCATAAATAATGAATAAGCCTTCACAAGCAAACAAAATCTGAATAAGCCTTCACCTACCTCAGGGCTTTTTCTTGAATGGGACTGTCTACCTGCTTCACATCTACCCTGACTCACACACTAAGATATTTGCAATGGCAGCCTTCACTGAGACACAAAGAAAAACATTTGGGTCCCTGTAAAAATGATAGCAGAAATGATAGACACCTACTATTTTCTCAGAGGCTCAATTACTGAAGAGTGGGGCTTGGTTCTGCTTCATCTCCATTTTTAGTGCTTTCGTCCCCTTTCTTATTTACATAGAGCACCACTAGTCTTGGGGTTAAACAAAAAATCCCTAATAGTGAAAGCCAGTCACTCAACCTTGAGCTTCTAGGGCCATTTTTACCAGGCTGATCACTGCCTGTTTGCAACCCTTAGTCAATATGTATCTACTAAAGTATTAGCAGCTTTTGTGGGACCCAATTACCATCAAAATGCCTTCATGCCTTAACAACTGCTCTAAATGAGCTAATGGCTTGTATAGGGATAATAACATCTGTAATCACTTTATATTATACATTACATCCTTATGTGGCAGAGATTTGGTACAGTCCTTTAATCAAATGTCCTGGAAAGAAGTATTTAACAACAACAGTTTATCCACTCATTGGAGCATCTAATGCTCACTGCCTATTTGCAATGGTTAAGTATATTTCAAAGGGGGGATGAAATGTGTCTACTCCATAGCCCAGCACACAAAGAAAGCATGCAGTCTACTCAAACATATGACATTAAATGGCATTCAATTGTATACTCGGCACCAAATGTAAAGGATTGTGATCCAGCAACCACAGACTGCAGAGGGGGCAGAGGAATGACTTATATTGTAAAAAGAGTTCAAAATGTTCTTTGTCACAGTAGCTGTCACGTGTCTTTGCTTCCCTGCTAAGCCCTGCACCTCCACCTCATAGCCAGGAGTTGCCATCTGCCTCATTCCAACAGAATGCTGTATGCAGCAGGTTGCTGACTGTGCCATTGCAAAAGCAGTCACGTCATTGCTGCACGAAGCCTCTCTGATGGTCTAAGTCAGAAGTTTCCCTTCCACAGCCACCTAAAATGGGATGCTTTTAGTGTTGACCATCAGCAAAAAGGGCACATTTGTGATGTATCCGCTGGAATTAAGGAGGATGGGGAAGGCACAGCCAGAGGAAGCAAATGGAAAAACCTCCAGGTGACCCCATGGTAGAGCCAGAACTCGTAACCATGCATGTGTCCCTCTGCAGTAACTCGGTGTTCAAGCAAAGTTGCCAAAAGGTGCGTGCATAGTAACTCTTCAGCTCTGCTGTTGACCTAATTTAGGCCACATCTTCTGAAACAGTTTGATAATCAATGCGAGAAGCATTTTTCTCCTCTAATACTGAAGGTGGGGTTTGATGCTTTCTGGATGTTTAATGCTCCTTTCAAGTTTGTTTTTCGCAGCTTGCCAGGTGGACAGCACAGTTCTCATCTGTTCGTGCTGAAAGTTTTAGTGAATTATGAACCTCAGAGCTTGTGAGAAAGGCAACTTTGATCCAGTGTCCACCCAAAATAAGCAAAGATGGATGAGGTCCTGAGGAAGACTGGTCCTGCTGTTCAGCTGCCAGCCCTCTGTTCTGCTGGGAAGCTTTTGGCCACCTCACTCTCCTTGGTGTCTGACTCTACTGAGGCCATACTGCAGGAATCGTTGTACATGTCTGAAAAGGAGGACATGGCATTGTCACTACAACACGTCTAAAGGATTTCCCATCTACAATCTTGAGGTTCATTGTTAAAAGCCTGAAATAAAATAAAAAATAAATAATCGCAATTCTACTGTTCTCCTAATTCCTTCACTAAAGGCAAGGGAGGCTCATTTGGCAAGTAACTAACTGTAATATGTGTCTGGCTTTATTTTTCTTTTGAAGCATTA